AACTATATATAAAAAAATCAATTTTAAATAAAAAATAATTGAAAACAAATTCAATTCAGAATTAAAAGTTGAGAAATCAATTTTTAAATAAAAGCAAATGGAAACCTAGTAGCAAATTGAAGGAGAGATCCCAGATTCAAATGCCATGGAAAGCAGGCAGAAATTCCAATAAAGGAATAACAAATCCCTTCTTTTATTCTTGTTGAGAGACCTATCCATCAAAAACCTTGACTCCCTTTAATAATTTCATGCACCCACTCATTTCACTTTAATTTCTTTCTTGTCTTTTCTTTTCCCTTTTCCTTTTCTTTTTCCTAACGGTGGGTACCCCATGAGATGTTTTTCTCATATGTTTATATAATTATCTCTAGAAAAGTATTTCCCACTAAATTAACTTTATCCTCATTACAAAATTTAATGTCCTCGTTGACCCCAAGTCTTGTTTTAATTTTCTCGTTGTATTTTCTTTTTACTTTTTTTTTTCTGAGGAATCAATGACATGTGACCAGGAGTCCCTGCATGCTAATGGAAGAGAGATCAATTTAAGTTAGGCTTTTTTTTTTTTTTTTTCATGGTCTTTACAGCGGGAGATGGGAGAGGTTCTACTCCGTGCAGCGTCTTGCATGATGCATGAGGTTGCTACCATTGTACCAGAAACCTATTGGAAATTTTATTCACACTTGCTCATCAAATGATTGAAACTCATGCTGGCTGGCATGATAGCTTTTTTAGCGACTTACCACAGCAGTTCCTAGGAAATAATTGATCTTTGATGGAACTATACCCTACATGATACGATAGTAATTTATTGGCCAAGTCTACCAGCTAAAGACTTTTTTCTATCTTTCTGTACGTCTGTGAAATGTGAAAAGTTAGAAAGGTAAAGGGACCCATTTTACTAAATTATAATAGCAATGAACTTGCCAATTAAAAGGAGGGGAATCTTGAAAGGTGCGAAGAAATATTTTGATATATTATTCCATATATAATTAGTCGACACTCCAGTGCTGTAGTACATATAGCTTCTCTTAGCTCAAAAAGAAAGAAAGAAAGGAAAAGGAAAACAATGGCAACTCTGCATTTAGTAGTGTTTCAGGTCTTGCTGTTGTTATGGTCATTTAATGATCCATTGCTGATTGCAGAAGCACAAAGCAGAATGACACAGTATGGTTGTGAACCTTTCTGTGGAGCGATCAGCATTCCATATCCATTTGGAATGGGAAAAAAGAATTGTTACTTAGAAGAAAGCTACAAAATACATTGCAACTCTACCAGTGGAGTTCCCACGATTTCAGTAAACGGCATCGATCTGGAGGTGACTGACATATCCGTTTATGACAGCACTATTACGGTCAACTTTCCGGTTGCCTTTGCAAATTGTGAAGGCAAGGAAAGACAAACTACAGTTGTTGACTTCGAAGGAAGCCCTTTTGTCTTCTCCTCCAAATCGAATTACTTTTTTGCAAGGGGTTGTGACAACCTTGCCTTGATGATCCAGAATCAGACAACTGTTGGTGGGTGCATGTCAATTTGTGATAAAAATAGTGAAAGCGAAATTACTAGTTGCAGTGGCATCAACTGCTGCCAGACCAGGATCCCCTCATATCTCAAGGTCTTTAATGTAAGCATGAAAGGTCTAGATGATGGAAAGCGAAGAAAGGTGGAAAAGGAATGCAGGTATGCCTATTTAGTTGACCAAAGTTGGATTAACTATAGATGGTATGATTCCTTTGAAGGGAGTAATGCCCCTTCTTACGTGAGCGATATGGACTATCATCTTCCGGTAGTACTGGATTGGGGGATAGACAAAGAGGTATTTGGATTACTTGTTATGAATGGATCATTTTCTAATTCAAGTTACTCTTCTGAGTGTGAAATTCTGAATCCTCCCATTAACTCAACCTGGCAAAGCGCTACAGTTCGATGTTCTTGCGCACCAGGCTTTGTGGGAAATCCTTATATTTCTGGTTTTTGTGAAGGTAAGCTCCTGATTATTTGTTTATTGCATTACATTTCTATTCTATAGGTTCTTCTTGCATATTTTACCTTTATATGGTGTACTGGTCAACTCTGTTTCTCCATGTATGCAGAGAGTCGACGAGTATACCGCTATTACCGGCGGAGTATTAAAGCTAAAATGGCAGGCCTAGGTACGTTCGTTGCTGCATGTGCATCCTATTTCATGAAAAAAATTGAATACTATTTGCTATGGCAGACATTTGAATTTTGGCTTTAAAAGATAGGTGTTTATTCCATTTGGTTAATTTATAATTGCAGGAGTTGGAGTGGCATTCGGAGCATTGATTCTACTCATTGGAATATGGCGGTTGCAGAAAGTATTGAAGAGAAGGAGGAATGAAAAAACAAAGAAAAAGTACTTTAAAAGGAATGGTGGTTTATTGCTGCAAGAACAACTATCATCAGGTGAAGTCAATGTAGAGAAAATCAAGATGTTTCCGTCAAAAGAATTAGAGAAGGCCACCGACCGTTACAATGTGAATAGAATGCTCGGCCAGGGAGGCCAAGGAACAGTTTACAAAGGGATGTTGGCAGATGGAAAAATCGTTGCGGTCAAGAAATCTAAAGTACTTGATGAAGGGAAACTCAAACAATTTATCAACGAGGTTGTCCTTCTATCCCAAATTAACCATAGAAATGTGGTTAAAGTTCTAGGCTGTTGCTTGGAGACAGAAGTTCCATTGTTGGTCTATGAATTCATTCCTAATGGGACCCTTTTCCAGTTTCTCCACGAACCAAACGAGGAATTCCCTTTAACTTGGGAAATGCGCCTAAGGATTGCAACAGAGGTAGCAGAGGCACTTTTTTATCTCCATTCAGCAGCTTCCATCCCCATTTTTCATAGAGACGTCAAGTCTACAAACATATTGCTTGATGAGAAGTATAGAGCCAAAGTAGCAGATTTTGGGACTTCAAGGTCAGTAACCATTGATCAAACCCATGTCACAACACAAGTACAAGGCACCTTTGGGTACTTGGATCCAGAGTACTTCCAATCAAGCCAATTCACAGACAAGAGTGACGTCTATAGCTTTGGTGTAGTCCTTGTTGAGCTTCTTACTGGACAGAAGGCAATATCTTTCACAAGGTCAGAACAAGAAGGCAGAAGTTTAGCGACATATTTTCTAATGGCCACGGAGAGCAACTGTTTGTTTGATATTCTTGATCCTCAAGTTAAGGCTCAAGGAAAGAAAGAAGATATAACGATGGTTGCTAACTTGGCTAGGAGCTGCTTGAGGTTGAATGGAAAAGAAAGGCCTACAATGAAAGAAGTCACAATGGTGCTGCTGGGGATTAAAAACTCAGAAGACCTAATCGCTCAACAAGAGATTGAATATGACAGAAATGAAGTAATGGGAGCTCCTTGGGACCTTGTTTCTACATCAACAAACTCTGGTTTGGATATCTGTGCTCCTTCATCACAAGATGAAAAACCACTCTTACATACATATTGAAATTAGTGTTTGAACTACTAAATGTTTTACTTTGTTTGTGTATTTGTGCTCCTTCGTCACCTTTTTTGTGTGTTTTATTTATTTAATCTTCATTTTAAAGAGCTTGTTAAGAATTGTTAATGTCCATTTTGAAAAAAGAAATCAAAGATTTCACAGGTGGGATGAAAATTAAGCAATCATGGAAGAGAACTGTGATCCACAACATGTAAAGGTCTAAAACAATCGAAAAAACATGATGAATTAGATATTTCCATATTTCGTGCTTCATATTTTAGTGCTGTAAAACTTCTCTAAAGCCTAGTCCTAAATTCTTAACTTTCAACCATACTAACGAAGGTTTTTCCTTCTTTCCCCCTTTTTTTTTTTCAAAAAAAAAAAAAATCAACAATTTCTTTTGACTGAAAACAACTGTGAGGAGCCTACCTTGCGCAAGACTACTGAACAACCAGAAAAACAAATTCACATGAATGAATTATATTTTAACATGTTCTGATGTTTTTGTTTGTTTGAGAATTATAACCTTAATGTTTGTTTGATATCTCCTCGAGGAGCATCTTCAAGCTTCAATAATCAAAAGATTAAATTATTATAAAAATCAAAAGATTTGACGATAAGATAACATGCTAGGATTAGATTGAGGTTTGCCCCATAATTTTCTCAATGGTGGGGCTCTTTTATCACCTTTCCTTTGTTTTTCTTTCTTTGCTTTTCTGTTTTTATTTCCTTTCTTTCCTCTCTTTTCTTCATCACTGACTCAAATAAAGAACTAACTAGTTTTCCTATCTATAAATTTTTTTAAAAATAAATTGTTATAATAATTTAAAAAGCAAGTTTAAATCAAACGGAAAAAAAAAAAAAAAACAATGCCTCTAATAATGAACATATTTTTGTTTTGCTATACCCTACACAATGTGATAGGAATCCATCTGGTCAAAGTATGGCTGCTCCGTCCAATACAATGTCTTTAGTTTACTTAAAAGTCATTTTTTTCATCATTTCTCCAGAGAAAAGACAAAGGCAATTCTTATCATAATTAATCTTGTGTCATGGAATTGATTCCACATTTGCATATATGGGCTGGAAAGTTTTTGCATATGTGGTTCATGATTGGCACGAGTTTTTTTCCAACGAATCTCCAGTGCTTGATATGCATACAATAGTGCAAACTTTTTGTAGGTGCCTTCTCATATTTTTCAATAACCTTTCCCAATATTCTTAAAGAAGATGTAAAACCGAAGGCATGTTACACAATGTTATATATAAGAAGCAATCATTTGGTCCAATTGTGACTGCTGTGGGATTGATCTGCTTTTCAAATTAATGCTTTTAATTACTAGTACAAAGCATAAAGTCATACGCGTGAAACCCATTTTGGATTGTTAAATAGATAGCAAGGAACTTGCCAAGTAAAAGAAAAGTGCAGACCTTGAGAAATTTTTGCATATTCACACGCTTAGTTCTGCTGGATATATAACCGTGGTACTTTACAGCCTTCTTCTGATCTGCCAAAACAAAAGAATAGTTAGAATGGGAGCTGTGCAGTTTGTAGTGCTTCAGCTCACACTGCTGTTGCTGATGTTTTGGTCATTTAGTGATCCGTTAGTTATTGCAGAAGCACAGGTACCTATAGCAAACTATGGATGTCGAGATTCTTGTGGAAATGTTACGATTCCATATCCATTTGGAATGGAAAAGAAGGGTTGTTACATAGAAGAAAGGTTCAAAGTACATTGCAACTCTACTAGTGGAGTTCCCACAATTTCAATCAGCGGCATTGATATGGAGGTGACAAATATTTCTGTTGATTACAACACTATTACAGTCAACTTTCCAGTTGTCTACGCAAATTGTGAAGGCAAAGACAGTAAAAGCAGTACAGTTGTTGACTTGGAAGGAAGCCCTTTTGCTTTCTCCTCCGCAGAGAATTACTTCATTGCAAAAGGTTGTAATAACGTTGCCTTAGCGACCCCAAAGAATGAGGACTCTCCTAATCCTTGGTGCGTGTCATTTTGCGACAAAGAGAGTGATAATGGCCCTGACATGTCTGGTTGCAGTAACATCACCTGGTACCTGAACAACATCCCCTCACATCTCAAGGTTTTTAACGTAACTTTTGAAGGTTTTGATGACAGGAGAAAATCAGGCAGCAGCAACAACAGCAGGAAATTAGAGGAATGCAGGCATGCCTTTTTGATAGAACAAACACGGGTTGATAACTCTGCCCCTGACATGAGGGATGTGGACTTTGTTCCAGCAGTGCTAGATTGGGGGATTGATAATGAGATATTTCGACTCTTTGTGGAGAGTCAAGGGTGTCATATTTCAACCTCTATTCATAGATGTGGAGCCTCTGGTCCTCCCATCGATTCAAGTTCCCGACCAAACTCGACGATTCGATGTTATTCCACACTTATCCCTGATTATCACAATCCTTACCTTGATAGTTTTTGTGAAGGTAAACTCCTCATCACACAAACATTTTCCTTCCCTTTATTTGTTTTTTTTTCTTAATCGAAACTGGTTGTTTTGGAATGAGATTGAAATTTCAAAAGGGTCTATATGAAGTACTATTCTGTTTTGTTCTTGCATTGTTTGTCATTGAATAAAGCACTGATTGACTCTGTTTCTCCATGCATATATACCAGGGAAAAGAAATGGCAACCGGACTAAAATGGTGACCATAGTTATGTTGTACTATGAACCAAGTTTGAAATTGGGAATCAATAGGTTCTTGGTTCCTCAGTTCTTAACAAATTTCCTATTCGATTTTGTGCAGGTGTTGGAGCTGGACTAGGAACAATGTGTTTTCTCATTGGTTTATGGAGACTGTACAAAGTTTTCAAAAGAAGAAGGAACAAAAAACTGAAGAAAAAATTCTTTAAAAGGAACGGTGGTTTGTTGCTACAAGAACAATTATCTTCGGGTGAAGTCAATGTTGAGAAAATCAAAATGTTTAGCTCAAAAGAGTTGGACAAGGCCACTGACCGTTACAATGTGAATAGAATGCTCGGCCAGGGAGGCCAAGGAACAGTTTACAAAGGGATGTTGGCAGATGGGAAGATCATTGCAGTGAAGAAATCCAAAATACTTGATGAGGAAAAAGTCAAACAGTTCATAAATGAGGTTGTCATTCTCTCACAAATTAACCACAGGAATGTGGTTAAGCTTCTAGGTTGTTGCTTGGAGACTGAAGTTCCATTGCTGGTGTATGAATTCATTCCCAATGGAACCCTTTTCCAGTTTCTCCACGACCCTAATGAGGAACTCCCATTAACTTGGGAAATGCGCTTGAGGATTGCTACAGAGGTAGCAGCCGCACTTTCCTACCTACATTCAGCAGCTTCCATCCCCATCTACCATAGAGACATCAAGTCGACCAACATACTGCTTGATGAGAAGTACAGAGCCAAAGTAGCAGATATTGGGACTTCAAAGTCAGTTCCAATAGAGCAAACTCATGTCACCACTCTAGTACAAGGCACCTTCGGGTACTTGGATCCACAGTATTTCCAATCGAGCCAGTTTACAGACAAGAGTGATGTTTATAGCTTTGGTGTAGTCCTAGCTGAGCTACTTACTGGGCGAAAACCGATATCTCATACAAGTTCAGAAGAGCAAACCAGAAGTTTAGCAACATATTTCCTTATTTCCATGGAGGACAACCGTCTGTTTGATATTATCGATCGGCAAACTATGATGCAAGGGAGGAAAGAAGATATATTGATGGTTGCCAGGTTAGCTACGAGCTGCTTGAGGTTAGATGGGAAAGAAAGGCCTACAATGAAAGAAGTCACTACAGTGTTGGAAGGGATTCAAAAATCACATGGGAATCAAACGGCAGCAAATGATTTCGACATTCCACAAGAGATTGAATATGGTAGAAATGAAGTAATGGATTTGCGTTTGGACCTTGCTTCTACCTCAATTGACTCTGTTTTGGATATTGATGTGGTTTAATCACAGCATATAAGACAATGATTTGCTTCTCCCTCGATAGCTAGTCTCTGTTTTTCTTCTTCTTTGATGGCGAGGATATATACTTCTAATCATGATGTGTTTGTTTAATTTAATCCCATTAGTTTGTTTGTTTGTTTTAGAATTATTACCTTTTCAAATTATATACGACGAATCAAAGTCTTCTGAAATTGTGGTTTTAATTAAAGAAATCTTGCAAATATATAGTCCAAGCAATGCAACTAAAGAATCTTTACATTCCTAAACTTTGTGGCAAGACAATTAATAAGGATGAATTTAATCCCCTAAAACGTAGGATCATCATCAACCTGTTCTACGTCAGACAACATTTCTTCAACATCGACTTCTGTTAAAGACAATCCTTCTTGTAGCAATAAATCATAATCCCGCTTGAAGAACTTCTTCTTTAGTTTCTCTATCCCCTTATTTTCCTTTGCAACTTTGTAGGTCCACCATGTGCCACCAAGTAGAAACAACGCCCCAAGCCCAGCACAAATGCCTGCATAAATCAAGAAATAAATAAATATTAATAAAATTGATATTTTACGGACTGAATCAAGAAACTAATATAGTTGGGAACTGATCTGAATGAATTTAATTATCAGAAAAGATTTCTTGCAAGTTGCAATGTATTTAGTATTGTTAATGCAAATTAAAATTAGACAATATGTTGTATATAGGGCTGAGGGACATACCAATAAACACCTTTTTAACCCGAGATTTCTTGGCTTCAGGTATTATGCAGCCGTAGCCATGATTAAAATTTACACAGATCAAATTATCCTTCCAACAATCGTTGAAAAGAGGATCCTCACATTCATTAATATCTGAACATATTGACAATGAAACAGAAGTTAGTAATAAATAAACAAACAGTTTAGTTATTATTTTTTTAACAAAAATGGAAGCCATTGAATTCTGTAATTAGAAGGCTTGAAATTCAATTTTACAGAATTGAATATGGAAGGCAAGCTGAAATGGCAATAACCAAATACACATGCAGAGGCCATATCACTCTGGATTACTTGAAGGGCTATTTGATTTTCCCTATGAGAGTGAAAGCAAAGCAGATTTTTTTATACAAATAGAAAAACATTTATGTCTGATGAAGAGAAAGTTTACCTGAACAACCAGCAGGAAGATAAGGATTCCCATGATAGCCACCGCTGCAAGAACATTTAATCATGGACTTTTGATCATTGCTTGGAATGTTTTCGGATTTGTAAGTTCGACAGTAATATGTTTCATTATTTGGCAATGATCCATTCCTTTGAAGAGAGTCAAATATCCAATAATCTATCATCCAGTCTAGCACCACAGGAACGTAGTCCATAACTGTCACTGAGTAGGGGATCTCCAGGCTACTATTGAGCCTATCGCTGAACCATTTTTTATCTACTAAATAGGCATGCTTGCATTGATCCCTGCCTCTTCCTCTAACATCATCTAAATCTTTGAATACTGCATTGACAGACTTCAGATGGGAGGGGATTTTCATCTGGCAGCAGTTGATTCCATTGCAACTGGCATGATTTAAAGCAGAGCTGCTGCTTTTGTCGTCGCAAATGGACATGCACCCACCATAGATAGAGTCATTTTGTGTCAACAAGGCAATATTGTTACAACCCACCACAACAAATCTGTTCCCTTTTTCTGAGTACACAAAAGGGCTTCCTTCCAAATTCGCAATCATTGGATTGCTTTCCTTACCTCTACAGTTTCTTGAATAGAAAATCGGAAAATTGACCTGAATGGTGCCTTCATCAACAGAAATTCTCAACACGTCTAGATTGATGGCGTTTATGGAAAGACTAGGAGTATTTTTGGCGTCGCAGTGTATTCTGAACCTCTCATTCAGGTAGCAACCGGCTTCCATTCCGAAGGGGTACGGAATGTCAACGTTTCCGCATTGAGCTTGGCAATTAGGCTTTGCCATGGATTGTGCTGCTGCAAGCAGTGCATCTAATGGCGCCAACAAAAGAATGATCAGAAACACAAACTGCACAGCCATTCTTTTCATTCTTCTTTCCTTTCCTGCAAATTTTGAATGGAGATGAAGAAAAACCTACCATATTTATATATTCCTTCTCAGATCACCCTCTTACGTGTCTGATCATGTTCCCATCTAGAAGGAAGTCGTCTAGCAGTCAATATACACTTTGTCATAATTTGGATATGAGATTGACTCCCCTCCGTTTACTTGGACCGAGACAAGTCAGTCAACTAAAATGTCAAAGTTAGAAATAATTAATAATTGTCCTTCTAGAGAGAAAAATATATATATATATATATATATATATATATATATATATATATATATATATATATATAGTTTTAGAACTAGCTCAATACCCGCATATTACCCCAGATAAGTTTATCATTTTCATGTTTTAATATTTTAAATAATTTAAAAATAAAAATATAAAATAAAATTTAATTAATACTCATTGTAAATATATATATATATTGAAATATTTCTTAGGAATATTTTTTATTTTGATAGATAAAAAATATCTGTAATTAATTAATAATTTAAAAAAAAATCCAATTAGAAGGAGGTGTTTAATCAATTTATATTAGAAGAATATTTAATTTTAGTTCATGAATATTTATAAAAATAGAAAAAGTAACCATTGATGATGGAAAAAAAATTATTTTGATCAAATAATTATTATTGAAAAAAACCCAGTCCAAAAAAAAATGATAGGGACCTTTTGGTAATATTTATGAAAATTAGGGATTGTTTTATGTAACATAATAACTTAGAGGACCAAAGTGTAAAATAATGATAAATTGATTAAAAAAAAATAACTTTTTTTTTTTGGAAAACGACGTCGTTTTGATTCTAAAAAAAAATCAAAACGATGCCGTTTTGGTTTCACTATAGCAGGGGCATAGCTACAGTGAAACCATATTCCCTTTTAGTATATGTATAATTTAACTAGCTCAATACCCGAGCGTTGCTGCAGGTAAGTTTATTATATTTATTTTTTAATATTTTAAATAATTTAAAAATATAAATTAATTAATACTCATTGTAAAAAAAATTGTTTAATATATATATATAATTGAATTTAAATATTTCTTAGGAATATTTTTTATGTTGATAGATAAAAAATACATGCAATTAATTAATTATTTTTAAAAAATCAAATTAGAAGGAGGTGTTTAATCAATTTATATTAGAAGAATATTTAGTTTTAGTTCATGAATATTTATAAAAATAGAAAAAGTAACCATTGATTATGGAGAAAAAAATTATTTTGATTAAATAATAATTAATGAAAAAAACCCAGTTTGAAAAAAAATTATAAGGACCTTTTGATAATATTAATTAAAATTAAGAAATTTTTTATATAAAGTAATAACTTAGATAATCAAAATGTAAAATATTTAAAAGTTGATAAAAATCACTTATTTTTTTTAAGAAAACGGCCTCGTTTTGGTTTCACTATAGCTTGTAGCAGGGGCTTAGCTATAGTGAAATCATATTCTGTTTTAGTATATGTTATAATATAAAACTAGTCTACATAAGCAACTTCTTCTCTCTCTTTCTTTATTTATTTTAATGTTTTATAGATAGTATGATATTTTTAACTCCAAATCACACCTAACTTTTCCTAAATTTTAGATTTTTTTTTCCTGTCCACTAACAGTCTATGTTGACTGCAGCATAAAAAGAGAGATTAGATTTATAAAAACCCCTACACTGATAAGTCAAAAGCATTTTTCTTGCCACTCAACTTACAACCTTATGTAGTATATATAAGCAACTTCTTTTATACAATCCAAATGCTAATTCTACTTTTTTAAAATAAGTTGTAGATTTTCTCAAAATGAAAAGTATTAATAATTAAGGAACTACTAAAATATAGAATTTTCAACACCGTAAGATGACAATTGCTCATCAGTAGCATTAAAAGATGATAATTAATCATTTTATTCTTCTTTCCTTTCCTGCAAGTTTTGATTTTCTGCGACAGCTGTTATCAAGATTCAAGGGACTACCATTTATAGTTCTGCCCATTTTGAATATTCTGCTCTTATATATTTTTCATCTCTTATTGTAATGCCAGGACTTTCTGATCCCAAACAATTAGAGTCTGGCACCATGGACCCACGTGAACGAGATTGTAGACCCCTGCTATTCATGGCCATGACCAAGGGTACTATAATTAATGCCTATTCAAAGGCTATAGTTGGGACCGATTGAAATATAATGCAACCATAAAAACGAAGGCAGACCACATGTGTTAAATGTTAGAAAGTGATATAAAATCATTCATGAAATTTCATTTAACAGTTTAAAGTTTTGGATTAAGATAGTTTTTTAACATTATATCAAGGTTTTAATAATCAAATAGTCATGAATTCAATTCTCATCACCTCATTTCTTTTCGATAACAAGTGCGTTTTCTTCTACGGGGTTAGCTTTACTTCTACAATTAGAAGAATAATGGCTATATTTATGAAAACTATAACTGGATTTGAGATTTATCATAGATTGGCCTTGCCTTGTATAATTTCCATGTCCAAACCTTCTTGTCGGGAAAGAATTTTTTCTTGATTTTTCTTACCGATGTTGAGTGTAGCCTCCTATTAGAATCTGAGAATTTTCTAGATACTTTAAGAATCCTTTTGTAATACTTAGTTTAAAAAGAGTGAAGATCCTTATTTTGTAGGATTTTGTTTTGAAATATTGATGTATTAGTTGGATTGGTATTTCTACAGTAATATATGTGCTACAGTAATATATATATATATATATATATACACACACACACCAAAATATCAAAAAAAAGTGATATACTCTGTTTTGGCATCTCATGGTCCGTTTCACGTTTCTTTCTCTGCAACTTCCTTTTTTCTTCTCATCCTGCCCATAAACTAATATTGTTTACATGGTATCAGAGCATTTAAAAATCTTAAAGGTCCTGTGAGTGACTAAGAGAGAACACCAACAAGGCTTCCTCTCCAAAAAAATTTGTGGTGCTGTCTTGGGATGCTGAGAATATCCTCTTCCTCTGATTACAAAATATAATATATTTTATAAGGATTTGATATTATAATGATATGTTTCTTTCTTTCTTTTCCTTTCTTTTATTTATTTATTTATTATTATTATTATTAGGGATAGTTATCAGAAAAATCATCTAAAAAAATCTTATATCCAAGTAACCCATCAATTTATTGTTAAAACTCTCAAAGCAAAAATAATATTTTTCTTACCAAAACACTCAATACTTAACCTTCAACTTAACACTAGTTAATTATTGGGTCTTTTAGTAAGATAATTTTTTTTTATTTTTAGGTTTGAGAGATTTAAAAAATAAATTGATGGATTTTTTATATAGAAAATTTTTAGAGTTTTTTTATATAGTTTTATCTAATAATAAACTAATGTCATAGTTTTTAATGAGTTTGATATTTTTTTTTTCATGATCAAGTCAAATTCTTTTTTATTCCATTCGAAAGAAAAAAAAAAGTTTTTGAAGTTCTTTGACTTTTAAACACTAACATTTGACTACTTTTTTTTATATTATACTAAAAAATTCCTTATACTAGAGTTTTTTTTTATCGACCATTTGTTTCATTAATTACGAGATTAATTTTACTATTTAGCGATTATATCAACCAATGCAATTTAACTAATTAATATTGATGAAATGAGACTCTTTTTATTCTCTTGTAATTTAATCAAAGGGTTATCATAAAAATAAGAAGAATAAGAATATGTATGATTATGAACATTAGTGATTTCTTAAATCCTAATATATTGAAAGAAAAAAAAACGCATCATCTGTAATACTATTTTTTAATTAATCAAAACTCAACATTTTTATCAAAAAATTAAATTAAATTACAAGATGAATATATAACATATTTTAGTGTATTAATTAAATAAAACATGATCATCCATAATAGAAATACATATCTTGAAAGATAATAGTTTCATTTAAACTAGAGATAATTACCAAAATACTTTCTAAAAAATCTTCTAGCTAAAAAATTGAATATTTTATTTTTAAATTTTTCAAATATAAAATAATATTTTTAAATCTTACAAGTCTAAAACAATATTTTTCTTACCAAAACAACCAATAGTTAATACTGATGTTAATTATTAGGTGTTTTTAGTAAAAAAAATATTATTTTAGATTTGAGAGATTTAAAAATAAATTTATAGGTTTTTTAGATATAAGATTTTTTTATAAGTTTTTTCTGATAATTATCTATTCTTATCTATTATTATTATTTTACAGCCACATGAATAATTTGCCATGTGTTTCGTTGCTGAAACACATACTTACTAGCAGGAGAGATGACCTTAATCTCTGTACCTGGTTGCCACGTCAGATTTGTCATTTTACGTGATCAGTGTGCAGGAGTTGCCAGCCTGTTAGTTGTCGGAGACAGGTTGTATTTATGTGGTATTAGTGTCTTTACCTTAGTAACCCCGATTCTACCTCGTATTACAGAGATTGGGACTCAAGGTACTGTCTCTGTGTTGTGTTGCTTAAAATTTGATACCATTAAATTGAAAATATTCATATTAAGATTAGAGAATTTATTAAATTAAGATGAGTTAATCTGAATTTTTTCCATTAAAAAAAATCAATTTGTTCAATCAGTAACAAACACATATCACAACCCAACAGCCGGAAAAGGACATCAAAGATTTATTCAAAGGATAAAACATCTTTAAAAAGTAGAAATTTTATCTAAATTGTTAACACATTAAATCGAATATTAATTTCTTTCAACCAATAAAAAACACATATCACAACCTAACACTGGCAAATTAAAGAACATTAAAGTTTTATAAAGATAAAGAAAAAAATTAATAGGCCCGAATTGATGGAAGCCCATGAGGAGTCTATTGGTAGAGAAACTGCTCTTTGCCCATTTACGGGGATGGACTCTAGGAAATTGGTCTGGGCCATGGTTGTTTGATAACAATTTGGCCCTTGAATATTGTAGCGTGCCTTTTAATAGAGATGAAAGGGGTGCGTTTTTGTTGGAAACAGGTGGCAAGAGAAAGCCAGAAAGAAAACATTTGAAAGAAATTTACTACATACATTTTGGTCCTTGTACTTTTGAAAGAGATGGTTTGAAGTACCAAATATTGCATTTCATTTAATTAGGTCCCTGAATTAACAATTTACCTTCCAAACCAACTAATTAATAAATATCTTAAAATATTTACTTATTCATTCATTCATATTCTAACTTAAAAAAGATACCTAGACCATTTAAATTTGTAACTCTATTTTTCATATATATATATATATTGAACAAATATAATTATATATTTTAATTTATGATAAAAATTAAAAAAATAATGGGAATCCTTTATTTAAATCAAAGTTGAGAACCAAATATTTACTAGCTATCTAGCTATATAAACGAAAATAACTGGAATCGAATAATTAGTGATTATAAAATTTAGATCGAATTGAGCATTCATTGGATGGAAAGATCCTTCATCTACTCTAATTGGATTGGATTTAAAACAAGTGATGAAGGTAATGGATAGGAATATTTAACCTGTTCCGATCCATTGGCATCCCTAATTTCAATAGACTCATCTTTCCTATAGGGAGCTGCATACGGGAAGGATGCACGTACTCATCCTTCATAGGCTTCTCTCCTTTCATTCGTCTAAAATTTCTGCTTCTGTTAAATCCTTGTGCAATTGAGATTTACTTTCAAATCACCTCGTAAGAAATGGCTCTACCTACTAAATTGGCTTCAGCAAAATCCTTACGAAGAAAAGGCTGGATGCCATAAAATGCAAAGTTAGTCAAGGACGATCCCAGAGACAAATGACTTCACAACAAAACAATTTTTTCTTGTGTCGAATAATTTGGTCTAAAATAATTTTGGTTACCTCTTTTTCTTTTGTTTTCTTTTATCTTTAATGATTTTTTTTTCAATTTAAATTTATTCATTCTTGTTTTTTGAATGTCATTGAGATATTTCATAAATTTTAAAAATTAAAATTAAATTTACACATATTACTATTATAGAGGGAAATGGACAGAGGAAATTGAAACTGCAAGTAAAGCTACGAGGGCTAATTATACAAACCAAACTTTTAAGATGAATTGAAACTACTATAACCCAAGTCAACTCCATCCCAACAATGCCTAATCCAATCCAATTGCCAAGATAATATCAACACAAACATAAGTAAATCAATCCATCATTTTTTTTCTTTTTCTGTAAGAATCAATCCAGCATTTAATGTTATAATATAGGGGAAAAAAGGTATGTAATCCACTCAGATATTCCTTTCCATAACGAGTCGGATAGCCTGGCCTATATAACATTACATTGCGAGAGCCTGTCTATTCAGTGCAAAAAAAAAAAAAAAAGAAAAAAGAAAAAGAGAAAAGAAAAGAAAACTAGTAATTGACATTTACATATCACTGAAGCTAGAAGTCCAAGTTTTGTGCATTAAGGAAGAAGAACAAAGTGTTGAAGGCCTAGAGTTACGCAGGAGGAGAGAAGACAGGCGCAGGAGGAGGAGGAGAAAGATGTCAGATTATCTCCCAGAAGACATCTTGTTAAATATCCTAGCAAGATTGCCTGTGAAGACATTATTGCAATTCAGGTGTGTCTCCAAAACATGGTATTCATTAATCACATCTCCTTCTTTCATAACCCACCATCTCAACGAAAAAGCTACCTCCAAAAACAATGACTTTCTTCTGTTTAAGAATAGAAATAGTTACTTTTTGTACCCAGATAAGGATTTTCCAACATGCAATGGAGAGGAAATTGATTTCCCACTTCATGAGGGAGTGGATTTTCCATCTCATGACAACATGTACAATACAGCTTCATGTAATGGTGTATCTTGTCTAGTTCGTTTTTATTTAGATTCTAGGTTTAAATTTTGGGCTGCTCTTTGGAATCCTAGTATCAGAAAGACTGTCCCTATTCCTCCACCAAATGCTGGTTTCCAGTCTCTTAGATTGTTTGAGATAGCTGGATTTGGTTTTGATTCCATCAACCATGACTATAAATTGGTGAGAATAGTCTATTTGGAGACTAGTGTTTATTGCCATACGAAGAAGACAAAATTGCCTCCACTGGCTGAGGTTTACTCGTTGAAGAGTGGATGTTGGAGAATGGTGGAAAATGATTTGAAACATGTGATTATGGAGTATTCAAGGTCTGCTTTCGTGAATGGAGCTTGTCATTGGACTACTGTAAGCTCCCAACGCAGAAGCAGGAGTGCTGCACTGAATGTGATTGTGTTTTTCGATTTAGCAGATGAGAAGATGGGGGGAATGATAGTTCCAGATTGTATGGTTTTTAGGGATGATATGGAGTTGACTGTTACTGTTTTTGATGGATTGCTTTCATTGGTTGCCTCATGGAGGCAATTTATATTGAAAGAAAAAAAACGCATCATCGGTAATACTAGTTTTTAATTAATCAAAACTCAACATTTTTATCAAAAAATTAAACTAAATTACAAGATGAATATATAACATATTTTAGTGTATTAATTAAATAAAACATGATCATCCATAATAGAAATACATATCTTGAAAGATAATAGTTTCATTTAAACTAGAGATAATTACCAAAATACTTTCTAAAAAATCTTCTAGCTAAAAAATTGAATATTTTATTTTTAAATTTTTCAAACACAAAATAATATTTTTAAATCTTACAAGTCTAAAACAATATTTTTCTTACCAAAACAACCAATAGTTAATACTAGTGTTAATTATTAGGTGTTTTTAGTAAAAAAAAATTATTTTAGGTTTGAGAGATTTAAAAATAAATTTATAGGTTTTTTAGATATAAGATTTTTTTATAAGTTTTTTCTGATAATTATCTATTCTTATCTATTATTATTATTTTACAGCCACATGAATAATTTGCCATGTGTTTCGGTGCTGAAACACATACTTACTAGTAGGAGAGATGACCTTAATCTCTGTACCTGGTTGCCACGTCAGATTCGTCATTTTACGTGATCAGCGTGCAGGAGTTGCCAGCCTGTAAGTTGTCGGAGACAGGTTGTATTTATGTGGTACTAGTGTCTTTACCTTAGTAACCCCGATTCTACCTCGTATTACAGAGATTGGGACTCAAGGTACTGTCTCTGTGTTGTGTTGCTTAAAATTTGATACCATTAAATTGAAAATATTCATATTAAGATTAGAGAATTTATTAAATTAAGATGAGTTAATCTGAATTTTTTCCATTAAAAAAAATCAATTTTTTCAATCAGTAAAACACACATATCATAACCCAACAACCGGAAAAGGACATCAAAGATTTATTCAAAGGATAAAACATCTTTAAAAAGTAGAAATTTTATCTAAATTGTTAACACATTAAATCGAATATTAATTTCTTTCAACCAATAAAAAACACATATCACAACCTAACTCTTAACAAAGTGGATATTTTATGTATAAATCAAATTTAAATTTAGATCTAAATTGTTAACACATTAAACAGAACCAAAAAAAAAAAAAATGAGAAGGAGAGAGATAAAAGGCCTGAAACTAGTTAGAAAATCACAAGCAGCGGCTATGGTACATATGAACTATGGTCCTATGGCATACGTATTCTTGTGTTGCATGCGTGTTTGTTCATTATATCCGTTTGGAAGAGCAATGAGACCAATCTTGTCAATCAATTGTATAGAAGTATGCTAAAAGACCAAAAAAAAAAAAAAAACATTTAGATTTTTTTTTTCTCACAAAGATAGGAAAACAGCCAAGCAACCTAAATTCCAAAAATAAATAAATAAATTTAGCACCCCCAACTTAATTTGAACAATAAAAAATGTTGCCATAAGACTTTGCTTTTTGCACTACATTAAGTTAGATAGTTGATTTTTTTTTTTTTTTTGTTTTATTTTTAGTTTCTATCTATTTACCTAGTCCATCAACTCATCATCTAGATGCCTATTAACTTAGACCTAATTAATTTTGTTTTTTTGGCTATCCTATTTAGTCAAGCCATTCGTCTTTATGATACTAAACTGGAAAACACAATACAAACGTAAACGAATTCACTAAGAAAAGAAGAGTGAGGAATTTGAACCCTTTATAGTTTGCAAAGTACTATACCGGTTTTCAACACTAGACTATCAACCACTCGGCCATCTCTTTGAAAGACAATTTTTATTTGCCGAATAGAATACGGCTATAGGAGTTGATATCGTCACTGTACTATAGAAAAATATTGGATATGAGTCGATGAATCTATTTATATATGCTAGACCTAAATACCTATTAAGTTAGATAATTGAGATTTAGATGTTTATTAAGTTAGATAGTTGATATTGAGTTTTTTTGTGATCTTTTGCCTATCTATCTGGTTCATGAACTCTCCAACTCATCACCGAGATGCCTATTACATTAGATAGTTGATATTAAATTTTATCCAAAAAAACTAAAGTTATCATTGGACTTTTTGAGATTATAATACATATTAAGTTAAATAGCTAAGATTCAATTTCATTCAAAATAACAACTATTTCTCAATTTTATATATTACTTATTTGTTATTTATTTATTCGATATGATATATGTTCTTAATTTAACAACACCTCTCCTCATTTGTTTTTATTTATTTTAATTCTCTTTGGTAATACATTCTACAAGAATCTTGTTTTTAGAACTTGAACGAATTTCTAACAAGCAGTTCATTTGTTCGGGGCAGATTGTAAAGCTTCTTGTACCTGATCAGACCCCTATAGAAGTGATCAATGCTGTTAATTCAGAAGGTCTTACAGCTTTAGATATTGCGAAAAGAATATCAATGGTGGGAAATTCTAAGGATGAGGATGAAATACATGAAGCACTACGAAGAGCTGGAGCAGAGACGTCAGGACGTGCAGAGCAAACTGTTGTCGCTAACCCACTGCAACAAGGATTGGCAAGAGCAGACTCACTATCTTTATCATTAAGGAATGGTTTTGGTGTGGTAGCAGCATTGTTTGCTACTCTATCTTTCGAGCTCGCAATGAATCCTCCTGGAGGTGCGTGGCAGGATTGGGCCTCTGGTACCAACCAGCAGAATACTACTCAAGCTGATGCAGCAGGCAAAGTCACACACATGCCTGGAATATCCATAATTTGGGAACTTCATAAAAGTGATTCCCTTGGTTTTCTCCGCGCGAATGCATCCTGCTTTTTCATTTCGCTAATTTTACTTGGGGTTTTAGCAATTACTGAGTACAGGCAGACAAGAAGGCTGGATATTCTGGTGCTCTCGTTGTTTGGTTCACTCTTGATTTATGCTTCATTTGAGTTTACGTATGGCATGGCTCTAGTAACAAGAAAAGATTTTGCCTACATTTCTTACAACATTTGTGGGTACGCTTGGATCCAGATTATTTCTTCTACAGCCATTTCTTTCTTTTTACTATTCTGTCTATGGAGGTGAGTATACAACCGTTAATTTCTTGTTTATAGACTAATGTATTTGTCACTTGATTTTGAACTACCCATTAAATTTCCTTTCCATTTTTTAACCAACTGATTGGATTTTTTTTTTCTTTTGCAGAATAAAGTTTTTTTATTTGGCAGAAAGAGTCAACGGCTTGATAAGGCAACTGGAGGAGGAGAGGAAGGGATTTGAATTAAATAACACACATATATATATATATATATATATATATATATATATATATATATATATATATGCTGGTGTAAAATATCATTTTCCTAAATAAATAGTGTAAGACGTGTTGTTTTTGTTACCTCGTTTCAAATTTTATTAAGGGTTTTAAAGGAAGAATTCTGGTTAACATAACGAAGCCATTTATCAATGTATTCTTGATATTTTATTGATTTCGTCTCTCTATTAAAACTTTCATGAATTTCATCCTTGTTCAGACTACGAATATAGTTCTTCTGTAACCATTTTGCCTGTAAAACTCCACCTAGGTTCAAAATGAAAAATAAATAAATAAAAACAAATTCAAGATGATAAAAAAAGAAAAATCATTTTTCGCATCAACTAAAATTAATTCCACTGTTTTTTAGATTAAATTAACACTAAAACGTATTTCGCTTTTTTAATTTATTATTAAATTTCTTTTTAAACCAAATCAGTTTAAGTTTGATATTATTAAAGAATAATTATAAATAGTTATCTATAGATAGTAAAAATTGAATATTAACTTTAACTAAATTAAGATAATTTTTATCATTAGACGAAGTCTAATGCCAATTTGCAAAATTAATAGGCCCGAATTGATGGAAGTCCATGAGGAGTCTATTGGTAGAGAAACTGCTCTTTGCCCATTTACGGGGATGGACTCTAGGAAATTGTTCTGGCCCATGGTTGTTTGATAACAATTTGGCCCTTGAATATTATAGCGTGCCTTATAATAGAGATGAAAGGGGTGCGTTTTTGTTGGAAGCAGGTGGCAAGAGAAAGCCAGAAAGAAAAAATTTGAAAGAAATTAACTACATACATTTTGGTCCTTGTAATTTTGAAAGAGATAGTTTGAAATACCAACTATTGAATTTCATTTAATTACGTACATGAATTAACAATTTACCTTCCAAACCAACTAATTAATAAATATCTTAAAATATTTATTCATTCATTCATATTCTAACTTAACAAAGATACCTAGACCATTTAAGTGTGTAACTCTATTTGGATAATTTTTCATATATATATACTGAACAAATATAATTATATATTTTAATTTATGATAAAAAAATTTAAAAAAAAATGGAAATCCTTTATTTAAATCAGAGTTTAGAACCAAATATTTACTAGCTATCTAGCTATATAAACGAAAATAACAGGAATCGAATAATTAGTGATTATAAAATTTAGATCGAATTGAGCATTCATTGGATGGAAAGATCCTTCATCTGCTCTAATTGGATTGGATTTAAAACAAGTGATGAAGGTAATGGATAGGAATATTTAACCTGTTCCGACCCATTGGCATCCCTAGTTTCAATAGACTCATCTTTCCTACAGGGAGCTGCATATGGGAAGGATGCACTCAACCTTCATAGGCTTCTCTCCTTTCATTCGTCTAAAATTTCTGCTTCTGTTAAATCCTTGTGCAAATGAGATTTACTTTCAAATCACCTCGTAAGAAATGGCTCTACCTGCTAAATTGGCTTTAGCATCAACATATATATATATATATTTTTTATTTAATCGACGGTTGACCATTTCTCACCTTGTAAGTTGGAGCCAACATCCACTTGGTGCTGGCCCTAATATTGCTACTGTTTTTCATGAACCCTTAGCTAGATGGTCAGCAATTTTACCATTGAAATTGTGTACTGGGAATCCACATGGAGGAGAGATTATAAGTTGAAGGCTGAGAAAAGCAAGCAGCCACAAAACTAGAGCCAACTCTATCCCAACAATTCCTAATCCAATCCAATTGCCAAGATAATATCAACACAAATATAAGTAAATCAATCCATCATTTTTTTTTCTTTTTCTGTAAGAATCAATCCAGCATTTAATGTTATAATATAGGGGGAAAAAGGTATGTAATCCACTCAGATATTCCTTTCCATAACGAGTCGCATAGCCTGGCCTATATAACATTACATTGGGAGAGCCTGTCTATTCAGTGCAAAAAAAAGAAAAAAGAAAAAAGAAAAAAGAAAAGAAAAACTAGTAATTGACATTTACATATCACTGAAGCTAGAAGTCCAAGTTTTGTGCATTAAGGAAGAAGAACAAAGTGTTGAAGACCTAGAGTTACGCAGGAGGAGAGAAGACAGGCGCAGGAGGAGGAGGAGAAAGATGTCAGATTATCTCCCAGAAGACATCTTGTTAAATATCCTAGCAAGATTGCCTGTGAAGACATTATTGCAATTCAGGTGTGTCTCCAAAACATGGTATTCTTTAATCACATCTCCTTCTTTCATAACCCACCATCTCAACGAAAAAGCTACCTCCAAAAACAATGACTTTCTTCTCTTTAAGAATAGAAATAGTTACTTTTTGTACCCAGATAAAGATTTTCCAACATGCAATGGAGAGGAAATTGATTTCCCACTTCATGAGGGAGTGGATTTTCCATCTCATGACAACATGTACAACACAGCTTCATGTAATGGTGTATCTTGTCTAGTTCGTTTTTATTTAGATTCTAGGTTTAAATTTTGGGCTGCTCTTTGGAATCCTAGTATCAGAAAGACTGTCCCTATTCCTCCACCAAATGCTGGTTTCCAGTCTCGTAGATTGTTTGAGATAGCTGGATTTGGTTTTGATTCCATCAACCATGACTATAAATTGGTGAGAATAGTCTATTTGGAGACTAGTGTTTATCGCCATACGAAGAAGACAAAATTGCCTCCACTGGCTGAGGTTTACTCGTTGAAGAGTGGATGTTGGAGAATGGTGGAAAATGATTTGAAACATGTGATTATGGAGTATTCAAGGTCTGCTTTCGTGAATGGAGCTTGTCATTGGACTACTGTAAGCTCCCAACGCAGAAGCAGGAGTGCTGCACTGAATGTGATTGTGTTTTTCGATTTAGCAGATGAGAAGATGGGGGAAATGATAGTTCCAGATTGTATAGTTTTTAGGGATGATATGGAGTTGACTGTTACTGTTTTTGATGGATTGCTTTCATTGGTTGCCTCATGGAGACCGAACTATGGTGAAGGAAGTTATTCAATTTGGCAAATGAAAGAGTATGGTGATGCCAAATCTTGGACCAAACTTTTCAATATCGAACATATGGTAGACTATGTATACGATTTTGTTGGATTTAAGAAAAATGGTGAGGTGTTTTTAGTTGTTGGTGGACAGCTAACTTCTTACTCCAAGACCAAAAATGGGAGTTGTAGAATTTTGGGCACTAAAATTTGGGGCAGTCAAGGCACATTTTATTTGGACTCTTATGTGGAGAGTCTTGTCTTATTGAATGAAGCAAGTTGGATCCCAACTGACAATCCTTCTCCAGGCAATAAGGAAGCGAATAGAGTTTCAAAGGAGCATTCTTCTCATGTTGCTGATCTAGACAAGAAAAAGAAGAAGAAGAAGAAAGGGAAGAAGAACATGGAGAGTCCTGAAATTGTGGATGAAGAAAATAGAGTTTTGGAGGGAGATGGTTGTAGTTCTAGTACTATTTCACGCAATGTTGTAACTAATGAAGGAAATGGAGCCTCGAAAGAGCGTGATTTCGGTGCCAAAAACAGGAAACAAAAGGAGAAGAAAAAGAATGGGAAAAACAACACGAATAGTGATGATGAATTGCCAGGGAAGAATAATTCTAGTGCCAGTGCAGACACTGCTGAAAAGGAAGCACATGAAGCAGCAAAGGAGCTGGCGCCCTCTTCTGGTTCCAATGCATACAAGAAGAAAGGGACAAAGAAGAAGAAAGGGAAGAATAACAAGAATGAGTAATGCCTGTTGAATTTATGTTTTAAGCTCTTAGATTAACTTATCAGTTCTTGTTTAGCCAAATAAAGAAGAGTTTCCAGCAGATATTTCCAGAGCTTTTCAAACAGTAACTTGTTTAACCAAGTTAAAATCCATCTTATAACTATTGTTACTGGGCTTAGCCTTTTTTTTCTTTTTCTTTTTTTCCTTTACAAAAGTTATCTAATAGGATAGATAGCCCGGCCAAGGCTTGAGTTCACCAATATTAAGATGCTACATGATTGATATTGGATTGGGTTACATTAAAAAAAAACTTAAAACTTATAATAAGTGGATCATATAAAATTGGATGGTTAAGATTAAATTAAATTTTATCCAAAAGACTTAAGAATTATGGTGAATGACCCTTTCTCGATCTTATATATTAATCATATTTGGTTTAACTATTCAACATAAAATATGTTCTTTAACATTTTCCTTTACTTGTAGCACAGTTTTTGGGATCGAACTCTAGAATCTTTGTTGGACTGGGAGATTGAGTTTCATATAAAAAAAAAACTTAGGTAGGTTTGATTTGATGGGTTTTCTTATTGTCTCTGGTCATTTATCGCGTGACTTAAGGCAGAATTTGAAAAGTAACAAGCACAAATAAATCTATATGCTTTTATATAATACTTAAAATTTTTAAATTTTTAATTACATCTTATTTGTTTCGAAATTAAATATTTGAAATATTCAATATGTCTTTTGGATTAATTTTTTTCGTTCAAATAAGATTTTTTTTACCAAAATACCTTTGATTGAAATATTAAAAAAAATAATTAAAATTCTAAAGATTAAAAAAAGAATATTTAAGTCATGTGACTTTAAGTATTTTTATTTATTTTATTAATTTATTAATTTATATTTTAGTATAAAAATTTCATAGCTAAAAAAATTTATTGGTATGACATATTGAACATTTCAAAAAAATTCAAAAACAAATGAGATGTAATAGAAAATCTAAAAAGAAATAGAAGATTTTAAGTATTATAAGAATAAATGAGTATATTTACCAAAAAAAAAAAAAAAAAGCAAATTTTGAAAAATAAGAATGAAGAGAATGCCTGCGCAGTTTGTGTACTTAACCATTCTTTTGTTGGGGACCATTAGATGAACTGCTTGTAGCAGTGCAGGACAATCCATGGCAAAGCCTAATTGTAATGTTCTATCTTTTAAGGAAAAAAATAAATTAAATTAAAAAAGAACAAGCATGTTATCAAATTTTAAAATATATGAGATTAAATAATAATTTTGGAAACGTCGATCACCACTAATTAGTTTGGTTTTGTTAAATTGCATGAATTGAGTTATAGTTAACTCTATGCGGTTACCTAAGACACATTACGTACAATTAACTTAGCTCATGATATTTAATGAGCTAAACTCAAACTCCTATCTTTTATAAAATAATATTTTACATCAATAAAAACTAAATTTATTATATTTTTTAAATTAAATTAGTACCAGAATATATTTAGTTTTTTGTTGATTATTAGATTTTTTTTTAAACCAAATCATTTTAAGTCTCATGCTATTAAAGACGTATTATAAATAATCATGTGTAGATAGTAAAAATTAAATGTTGATTTTAACTAAATCAAAATAATTCTTTTATCACTAGCATACGTCCGCAATGGTACAAAGGGCAATGCTGGGTTATCTTATAATTTGCAAAATTAATAGGCCCGAATTGATGGAAGTCCATGAGCAGAGTATTGGTAGAGAAACTGCTCTTTGCCCATTCATGGGGATGGACTCTAGGGATTGGTCTGGCCCATGGTCGTGTGATAACAATTTGGCCCTTGAATATTATAACGTGCCTTTTAATGGAGATGAAAGGGGTGCTTTTTTTTTTTTTTCCTCAAAGAAAGATAATAATTTTAGCAATACTAAAAAATAAATTAAACAAAAAATAGTATTATGGCAATTTGGCCCCCTTTTTTTTTCTGTTTTTTTGCTTCTCCTTTCCTATTTTATTTATTTGCATTAGTGTTGGGCTCCACACTAAGAGACACCCAACCCAACATATTTCCAACATAGTATATTCAGAGGATATAATTTGTTCTAGATGCTAATACCTAAATTCAAAATAAAAAAAGTTGATCATAAGATCAACTTCTTAGATTTATATTTATTTATTTACAATTCGAAAGAGCTTTTACTTCTCCTAACTAAGTAGGAAACTTTGCCAAGTAAAACCAAAGAAATATTCTTAGAATGTGTTAAAGGAGGACCAAAGCTTGTGACCGGTGATTGATCTTTCGTAGAACTATACCCCAGCCACAATGTGATAAAGGATAACCAAACCTCGTGAATGGTTTCCATAAGATTCTATGAATTAATGGGGTTTTTATCCCTTTGCTTTTCAAACGTAATCAATTGGTAGTTGGGAACTTTTTTTTTTTTTTTATCAGTCTAATGAGAGTTGATGAATGGAATTATACGCAGAAAGCTCAATTCTTAGTTGAACTCCAAATAAAGAAATATAAGCATTTGGAGACACGAGCCTGCACACCTAAAAGCCAACGCCAGAGAAGATCGATCTATCATTGAATAACTCCAAAATGTAAAATACTTGTACTTTTGTACTTTTCCTACTGGTTGGTACTCTTATGGAATCTTATCTCGATTAATTGGTTATTTATCTTGTCTGGTCGGCAAGGATGGTGATTGGTTAATCCAATCAGTTTATTGATAGTCGGTGTGGTCCTAATTAATAAAGATCTTGAACGTATTTCATATTTATCTCGTGAATTGACCTGTTATAGTGCGGAGAATGAAAGAATCTTCGAAGATTAACTCTAGCAAAAGCACTCACATCTTCAGTGAAAGCTGCATTAAACAATCTAGGATCCACTACGAATCATTGGTTGCTTCCACCCACCACTAATCCGAGAGTTTTTGTTGAAAAAGATGACAATAGAAAGCTAGAATAATGAAGTTGCATGAAAGCAACTACATATCAAATGTATATCAAATAATAGGATACAAGGATCTTTCCTAAGCTCAACCAGAACATTCACATCAAAATATCCAACAAAAAGATAGTTTTCAACAACCATAACAACAAAAAATGATTAGATCTCATGAAATATGTGTTCAGAAAATATTCAAGGTGAAAGTTTTTTAACAATCAATATTGTTCAAGTTGTAGAGTTTATTGTCAAAAACAACATTTTATTTTGATCGGGTTTGAAATCATTGTCCAATTAGGACAACAACAAAAAAAAGCACTTTTTTTCCTTCTTCCTCTCTATCCACAAAAATCTCTATCCTCTCCTTAATTTTCTTTTGTTCTGTTCGGCTGCTGCAGCTTAAGGTTATTGTCAAGCTGCACACTCAAAAAGAAGCCCATGATGACTCTTTTAATTGTCACATGGTTTAGGAAACTTTCACCCCTTTTTCTGTTTTCTTCCTTTTCTTTTCTCTTTTATTTATTTATTTATTTATTTACATGGGTGTTAGGCTCCACATGAGGATGAAAAGAAACCCAACCCAACATACATAGACTTGATACATCGAGAGGATATAAATTGTTCTAGATGCTAATTCTAATGAGAGTTGATGAATGACAGTATAGGCAGAAAGCTCAGCGCTTAAAGCCAATTCATATTTGAACTCCATAAAAGAAATAAAAGCACTTGAAGACACGATCTTGCACGCCTGAAGGCCAAAGACCGAGAAGATCTATCATTTAATATCTCCAAAATGTAAAATACTTTTACTTTTCCTGCTGGTTGGTATTCTTATGAGATCTTATCACGTTTGGTTATTTAATTACCTTTTGAAAAGTATTTCCCACTAAATTAACTTTGTCTTCGTTATAAAGTTTAATATCCCCACTTACCCAAGTCTTATTATAATTTTCTCATTTTTTTTTTTTTTATCTTACGAATAACCATCCCGATTCTAGGATTAACAACCTGGTAATATATAAAATGACAATCTAGAACATTGCTCACTCTAGATTGAGGAGACAACATCTTTCAAAAAAATCCTATGTTACCAGGCATGATAATGGAAGAGAGAGATCGATTTAAGTTAAGCCTTTTTGTTTGGTCTTTACAACGGGAGATGGGACGGGTTCGACTTCGTGCAGCATCTTACACTTTGCATGAGGCTGTTGCCATTACATCAGAAGCCTATCGATAAATTTACTCACACTTACACATTAAACGATTTTAAAACCATGCTAGCCAGCTAGCATGGTAATTTTTTAGCTACTTACCACAGTACGTAGTTCCTGGGAAATTATTGATCTTTCATGGAACTATACCCTACCCGATATGATAGTAATTTATTTGGTCAAGCCTGCCAGCTAAAGACTTTTTTTTTCTATCTTTCGGTTTGTGAAATGTCAAAAGTTAGAGAGGAAGGTGAAAAAAAAACATCTTGATATATTTTTCCATACATAATTAGTCGAGACTTCATTGCTGTAGTATACCTTCTCTTAGCTGAAAACCACTTGATAGGAATTAAAAAGAAAAAAGAAAAAAAAATCGACAAGAAAGGAAGGAAAGGTTAAATAATGGCAACTCTGCATTTAGTAGTGTTTGAGGTCTTGCTGCTGTTATGGTCATTTAATGATCCATTGCTTATTACAAAAGCACAAAGCAATGTGACACAAAAGGGGAAAAAATTGAGATAGATTCCAAGGCTGAAGTTGAGCATTTAGGAATAGCAATATAACATTTCATGAATAATATAAAAGAAGCCTTTGATTATTTTTTTTCCTTCTTTTGAATAAAATCAATAGTAAATTAAGAACGAGAGAGTTAGCTGGCAGCTAACAAAATTACAAAATCATCACAAACAAGTGAAATACCCAAAAACCAAAGAAAAATTAATTTGACATTGTAGCCAAGCTGTAAATTCGTTCATTATATGTAGACTACTTTTGACTAAAGAATCAGTCATTGCATTTCTTTCGCGAAGTATGCAATTAAAAGAGATAAGACCCAAAAACTTTGTCGAAGTATCAATAAAGTTTAGGAGGCTCTAAAAGTGCCAAGGTCTGACTGTAATGTCCTTACTCATCTAAGTAATAAAATTAGTAGAATCTAATTCAATAATCTAAGTTACTTGATGAGCATATAAAGAATAAGTACTGATCTCCAAACCTTTCTTAATAGGTAGAACCTTAATATCATTCAACCATTTGATCCCCGTTGGAATAGAAAACTTACGCAAGAAAGTTCTCGTGATTTCTTAATACGCCTCCAACACATCAAAGGACTAAAAATAAACTCAAAACATAATGATAATCCTTATGCAATTAGGACAATAAAATAACTAAAACAAAAACAGAAATTAAATAATTAGTGCTGAATAATTTTTAATTCAACTTATCAAACAAAATTAATCTAATTAATTAATTAATTAAAAATCAAATTAACTTAATTAATTATAATTCTAACCAAATTAAATTTTATATAACAATTAATTAGCAATTTCTAATATAAATAAAGTTTTAATTCAACCAATTAAAAAAATTAACCTAATTAATTAATTAATTAATTATAAATCTAATTAACTTAATTAATTCTAATTCTAACCAAATTAAATTTTATATAAAAATTAATTAACAATTTCTAATATAAATAAAGTTTTAATTGAACCGATTAAAAAAATTAGCCTAATTAATTAAATAAAGTTTTATGCATTGATTTTTAAATAAATTGTTATAATAATTTGAAAAGCAAGTTTAAACCAAACGGCAAAAAAAAAATGCCTCTAATAATGAACATATTTTGTTTTGCTATACCCTACACAATGTGATAGGAATCCATCTGGTAAAAGTGTGGCTGCTCCAATACAAAGTCTTCAGTTTAATTAAAGTCAGTTTTTATCATTTCTCCAGAGAAAAGAAGAAGGAACTTCTTATCATAATTAATCTTGTTCTCCTAATTGTCATAACTTGTTTTTGACCTCTTAAAATCCTAGAAGATCTCAAAAAATCATTTATACAAAAAATTCCAAAAAAAAAAAAAAAAGAAAATTGCCTATTGCAAAGTTTTTATGATTTTTAGGCATTTTAATAAATTTCTATGGTTTAAAACATATTGGTATTAAAAAAAAAAAAAAAAAAAAGAGTCGTTGGAAGGAAAATAAATTGAAGAAAGAAGAAAAAAGAAAAAAAAGACGACGGAAAGAAATGAGGAGCAAAAGTGAAAGAAATTAAAAAAGGATGAGTGCTGAAAAAAAAAACAAGAGAATTAAAAAAAAAAAAGGGACAAAATAAAAGGAATGAGGACTGAAGAAAAAGGAAAAGGAAGAAAATTTAAAAAAAAATGCAGGGGCACAATTGAGAGAAAGCGAAGAAAAAGCAGACTGAAATTAACAAATAACAAGGAAGAATAAAAGAAAAAAGATACAAGGGCACAATCGATATGATAAAAAGAATGAAGACTGAAAAGATTTAAAAGGGAAGAACGGAAACTGACAATTGAGGAATGCAATCGAGTAGAATTAAAAGGCTAAAGACCAAAATATAAAAGGTAGAGAAAGTGACGGACCCAAAAAATTTAACAAATTTTGGCTTTTTTTTTTTTTATTTGTCTTCAAGCTACAAGACAACTCTCAAATGTCAAAACCGTCTCTTCCTCACACAACCTACTCCACAAGATGCCAAAGTAGATGCATTAATATTTTAGTACATGCCAAAGCAATCTTTCACTGTAGCTAAGCCTATATTTTGGCTTTTAGGAAAAAAAAGTTTTCTCTATTATATATATATATATTTTAATCATTAAAATTTTATTATAGTTTATTTTTATCCCTATAAGAAATTTTTTTAATTAAATTTTTTGTTATATTTTGGTCTTTACTTTGTGATATTTCTTTTATTTTGATCATTAAAATTTTATTATGTTTGATTTTTCTCTTTTTATACTAAAATTAAATATATTTTCATTAACTAAGTCTTTTTTTTGCTTTTTTTGTTTTGATTCTATTTTGTAATTTTTTTTTATCATTAAAGTTTTATCATATTCGATTTTTATTCGTACCTTATGCATAATAAGTTTTTTAATCTTATTTTTTATAAGTTTGTTTTTGGTTTTCAATGAAAGTTATTTTTTATCCTTATTTTATTATCTTTATTTTGTTTCGATCATTTAAGTTTTATCGTGTGTAATTTTTGTTTCTATCTTTTTCCAAATAGGTTTTGAAATATTTCAATTTCATTTCGATTTGACAAAACTTTTTTTGTCATTTTGTTTTGGGTGGTTTCTCTCTCTATCTCATTAACAAACTATAGATAAAAAAAATATGGTCTAAATTAATCCTCCGAAATTTTAAAAATCACCACATCATTATTTTAATTATCAATTATTATTTATATTTCTAATAAAATGCATGTTTGTATTAAATAATTTGTGATTAGCAATATTATACTTGTTCGGTTTTGCAAATTTTCCTTTTAGCTAACCTTGCGGTAATACACAAAATATATGTTTTTTTTTCTTTGAATTTTTTTTCACTCAATCCTTTTAAATAATTATTTTTAAATCTATATTTTTTTATGAATGAATACATAAAAATATTGTATAACTCATCTTGCAACAACGCACAAGGTATATGCCAGTAGTTTCATAAAATTGATGTCTAGCGGAACTATACCCCCACACAATGTGATCGGAATTCATCTAGTCAAAGCATGGCTGCTCCAATACAATGTCTTTAGTTTAATTAAAGGCAACTTTTATCATTTCTCCACAAAAAAGAACAAAGCATTTTTTTTCATAATTAATCTTGTGCCATCGAATTGATGCTACATGACATATAGATGGGCCAGAAGTTTGCAATAAGAATATTGGATTTTACTTATATCAAGATATTAAATGATCATCTCACCTAAAAGTTTAAGCTGATAGATGAGATCCTAGAATATAATTTATACTAATCTCTTACATATCCCATCAAATGAAAGCTCCAACATTTGAGCTTAAAACTTGCATAGGTTCACATTTTCTTGTGCTTAATACTTGAGAAATTGAGGATTGTGAGACTTGAACTCAAGACCACATGATCAACCAAGCTCGATACCATATTAAAGGATCATCTTACTTAAAAAGCTTAAGTCGATAGGTGAGGCCCTAGAATATAATTTATACTAGCCTCTAATAGAAGATCATGTACAATTCGAAGTTTTTTATTGAAATTTTAAGTTTTTCTATCCAATTTAAGAGTTTTATTTTTATATTATTGTTGTGTTCAAACCTTAATTCGTCACGTAGACACATGTGGTAAGCTTTAGCCAATAATAACATGTCATGTGTTAAGATGAGCTCAAATTGGGTTTTAACGAAAATAAAATTTTTTTGATAAATTTTAAATAACTAAACAAATAATAAACCAAAAATAGGTTAGGAAAATATAATTCAATCCTTATTAAAACTAAAAATCCCTTTATCTCTCCTATTTATCTCAGCTTTTTTTCTCTTTCCTCCTTCGATCCACAATTAAATGTGACAATCTCTAATTCTCAAATTTCAAACCATAATACCCAATCCCTAATTTACCAATTAGAAAGTTTTGAGCTGCATTGTTTAAACTTGGTAGTCTCATCATCAGCTTATGATTGCACCAGATGCTCAGTATTAATTTAGATAAAAACGAAACTCATTTTCTTCCCCAGATACTTGGATTTTACGGTTGCTTTGTTACAATGATTAGTGGAGGATCCTGGTCAGAAAATGGAACAAGTCGTGGAAGAATCTTATAACATCACTTTAAAGCCATCGCATGGGTGGATTTCATCAGCTGCTTATAAAGTAACAATACAAAAGCCTTATTACTTCCATTTCTTATTTCACAGAACTTAAACATTGCTGTTATAACATATGGGATATATTAACTACATAATCCAATCTTGAACTGACAAACAGTTTTTTGCAGGTTGCTCTTAAACTAGTGGCTAATAATATAACATTTCCTCTCTCTTTCTCTTTCTCTTTCTCTTTCTGGTTAAGGGAAAAATGAGAATTATGGTTTATAATTGGGAATTGGGTATGAGGGTTTAAAATTTGGGAATTAGGAATTGTCCCTTGTATAGGAGGAAAGGAAAAAAAAGTTGAAATGAATAAAAGAGAGAAGGAGATTTTTAGTTTCGGTGGATAAAGGTTGAATTGTATTTTTATAACCTATTTTTAGGTTTATTATTTATTTAATTATTTAAAATTCATCAAAAAATCATTTTCATTAAAACCCAATTTTAACCCATCATGACACGTGATAAGTTGTCATTGGTTAGAAATTATCACGTGTGTTTACATGACACATTAACGTTTATAACAATAACAATATAAGAGTAGAATTTTTAAATTAAATAAAAAAAAACTTAGGGTTTTAATAAATAAATTCAAATTGTAAGGAATATCCATATATGCAAAACCCTACGAATATTAAAAAACATAAGTGGTTCATGATTGATACGAGGTTTTCCGTACGAATCTGCAGTGCTTGATATGTGTACAATAATATTGCAACCTTTTCTAAGTGCCTTGTAATGTTTTTCAATACCCTTTCCCAATACTCTTAAAGAAAATGTAAAGCCAAAGGCATTTTACATAATGTTACATATAAGAAGTAATCATTTTGTACTAGTGCGACTGCTATGGAAATCAGTTTATTTTTTAAATTATCAGTACAAGGCAAAAAGTTAAACGCGTGAAGCGCATTTTGGATAGTTTAATATATAGGAGGGAACTTTCCAAGTAAAAGAGAGGTGCAGACCTTGAGAAATTTTTGCATATTTACATGCTTAATTAGTTCTACTGGATAACCGTACTAATGTGCTGTGCCTTCTTCTGATCTGCCATGCATCAAAACAAAAGAATAGCTAGAATGGCAGCTTTGGAGTTTGTAGTGCTTCAGGTCATACTGCTGTTGCTGATGTTTTGGTCATTTGACAATCCATTGGTTATTGCAGAAGCACAGGTACCTATAGCAAAGTATGGATGTCGAGATTCTTGTGGAAATGTTACGATTCCATATCCATTTGGTATGGAGAAGAAGGGTTGTTACATAGAAGAAAGGTTCAAAATACATTGCAACTCTACCAGTGGAGTTCCCACAATTTCAATCAGCGGCATTGATATGGAGGTGACAAATATTTCTGTTGATTACAATACTATTACAGTCAACTTTCCAGTTGTCTACGCAAACTGTGAAGGCAAAGAAAGTAAAAGCAGTACAGTTGTAGACTTGGAAGGAAGCCCGTTTGCTTTCTCCTCCGAAAAGAATTACTTCATCGCAAAGGGTTGTGATAACGTTTCCTTAATAACCCCGAAGAAGGAGGACTCAGCTAATCCTTGGTGCGTGTCATTTTGTAGCAAAAAGAGTGATAATGGCCCTAATATGTCTGGTTTCAGTAACATCACCTGGTACCTGGACAACATCCCCTCACCTTTAAAGGTTTTTAATGTAACCTTTAAAGGTATTGATAATAAGGGCAAATTACGGAGCAACAACAGTAGCAGGAAATTAGAGGAATGCAGGTACGCCTTTTTAATAAACCGAACATTGGTTGATAACTATTGCTTTGACATAGGAAATCAGGTGTCTGTTCCAGCAGTGCTAGACTGGGGTATTGTTGAACACATATTTCGATCCTTTTTGAAGAGTCAAGGGTGTGATAATACCTCTATGAATACATGTGGAGCTTCGGGTCCTCCCATCGATTCAATTTCCGGCCCAAACTCAACAATTCAATGTTACTCCACACCCATCGTTGATGATCACAATCCTTATCTTGATATTTTCTTTTGTAAAGGTAAACTCCTCATCGCATAAACTTTTTATACTTTTCTGTTTTTTTCCCCCTTAATCGAAACTGGTAGTTTTGGAATGAGATTGAAAATTTCAAAAGGGTCTATTTATATATCAAGTACTATATGTTAGCAAAATTCATTTTCCATTACATTTTCTGTTCTGTTTTCTTCTTGCATTATTTGTCATTGCATAAAGCATTGATTGACTATGGTTCACCATGCATATATGTCAGGGAAAAGAAATGGCAACCGGACTAAAATGGCGACCATAGGTATGTTGTACCATGGACCATGTTTGAATTTGGGAATAAATAGGTTCTTAGTTCTTCAATTCTCAACAAATTTCCTATTCGATTTGTACAGGTGTTGAAGCTGGACTAGGAACAATGTGTTTACTCGTTGGTTTATGGAGACTGTACGAAGTTTTCAAAAAAAGAAGGAATGAAAAACTGAAGGAAAAATTCTTTAAAAGGAATGGCGGTTTATTGCTACAAGAACAATTGTCTTCGGGTGAAGTCAAGGTTGAGAAAATCAAAATGTTTAGCTCAAAAGACTTGGAAAAGGCCACAGACCATTACAATGTGAATAGAATGCTTGGCCAAGGAGGTCAAGGTACAGTTTACAAAGGGATGTTGGCAGATGGAAAGATCATTGCAGTGAAGAAATCCAAAATACTTGATGAGGCAAAAGTCAAACAATTTATAAATGAGGTTGTCATTCTCTCACAAATTAACCACAGGAATGTGGTTACGCTTTTCGGTTGTTGCTTGGAGACTGAAGTTCCATTGCTGGTATATGAATTCATTCCTAATGGAACCCTTTTCCAGTTTCTCCACGACCCTAATGAGGAACTCCCATTAAGTTGGAAAATGCGCTTAAGGATAGCAACAGATGTAGCAGGAGCACTTTTCTACCTCCATTCAGGATCTTCGATCCCCATTTACCATAGAGATATCAAGTCTACAAACATATTGCTTGATAAGAAGTACAGAGCCAAAGTAGCAGATTTTGGGACTTCAAGATCAGTAACATTAGAGCAAACTCATGTCACTACTCAAGTGCAAGGCACCTTTGGATATTTGGATCCAGAGTACTATCAATCAAGCCAATTCACAGATAAGAGTGATGTTTATAGCTTTGGTGTAGTCCTTGTGGAGCTACTTACGGGAGAAAAGCCAGTCTTTTTCAGAAGATCAGAAGAAGGAGCCACAAGTTTAGTTGCATATTTCCTAATGGCCATGGAGAGCAACTGCTTGTTTGATGTTCTTGATCCTGGAGTTGTGAAACAAGGTAAAAGGGAAGATGTTTTTAAGATTGCTAGCTTGGCTTGGAGCTGCTTGAGGTTAAATGGGAGAGAAAGACCTACAATGAAAGAAGTCGCAATGGTGCTGGAGGGGATTCACAAATCACACGACTTCATGGTTCCACAAGCAATTGAAATTGATCAAAATGAAGTAACGGTCCATGCTAGTACCTCAGCAAATTCTGGTTTGGATATGGATGTTATTCCTTCAGAAGATAGTAAACCATTCATACATGCATATTGAAATTATCTTTTACGTGTATGTTTTGGGTGTATTTGTGTCAACCGTTCTTGTTCTTTATTTTATTTTGAGTTTTTTTGTTCATCTGCTTGTTAGGAATTGTTGGAAAGTAACAATTTATGCCCATTTCATAATAAAGAAATTCAGAAACTTAAATTCATGAGTGGGACAAAAATCTATCAATCAAAGAACAAAAATATGATCGACTGCTGACTCTGCTGCTTCTAAAAAAATCAATCCCATAACAGACACATGCACCAACCAATAACACTTCTTATAATATAAAATCATTCTTAAGATATCATTTAATAGTTTAAACTTTTTGGTTTAAATAGTTCTTTGACACAGTATCAAAGTCTTGAATTTCAACGGAGCATTCTTCTCATGTTGCCGATCTAGACAAGAAAAAAGAAGAAGAAGAAGAAAGGGAAGAAGAATATGAAGAGTCCTGAAATAGTGGATGAAGAAAATAGAGTTTTGGCGGGAGATAGTTGTAGTTCTAGTACTATTTCACGCAATGTTGTAACTAATGAAGGAAATGGAACCTCAAGAGAGCGTGATTTCAGTGCCAAAAACAGGAAACAAAAGGAGAAGAAGAAGAATGTGAAAAACAACATGGAGAGTGATGATGAATTGCCAGGGAAGAATAATTCTAGTGCCAGAGCAGACACTGCTGAAAAGGAAGCACGTGAAGTATCAAAGGAGCTGCCTTCTTCTGGTCCCAACGCAGACAAGAAGAAAGGGACAAAGAAGAAGAAAGGGAAGAATAACAAGATTGAGTAATGCCCTGTTGAATTTATGTTCTGAGCTCTTAGATTAACTTGTCAGTTCTTGATTTTATTATTGTCCTTACTGAACATGTCTTTTGGATTTCAAACATTTCAGCCAAAGAAAAATGAGCATGGAAAAAAAAAAAAAAGTTACCTTGTTTGAAAAAATAACAGCACTTGAGTACCAATGAATGTAAACAAACAGCGAGAAAGGTTCTCATAAATTATGGTTAATTAAGAGATACATCTGAAAAATCTTACTATTTAATTAACATCGATCCTTAACATTTAATCTTCCTGTTTTACCTCGAATGAATGAAACTCGACTAGTTAATGAACCAATTACATTATTTTGTTTAATTAAAATTATATGAATTAAGCATTGGATTAATTATAAATATGTTTTTTTAAAAAATAAAGTGGTGGTTTGAGAAGGATGGATGAGAGCTAGAAAAACTCGAAACGTATATATGCATCATAGAAGCTAAATAGCAATAGTTTAATATTATTTAAAAATGCTAGAATACGAAATTAGAAAAACTCTCTCTATTCTATTCTGAATTAAGTTAATAAAATTCGAACTTAGCTAAATAAAGAAGAGTTTCCAACGGATTTTTTATTATAGAATAATATAAAATCATTCATAAGATCTCATCTAACAGTTTAATCTTTTGAATGAGATCTTTTGACAATTTACAAAGCTTTTCTAACAGTACTTACTTGTTTAACCAAGTTAAAATCCATCTTATAACTTTAAACTATTATTATTGGCCTTAGCTTTTTTTTTTTTTTTTTAACAAAAGTTATCTAAGATGATAGATAGCCCGGCCAAGGTTTGAGTTCACTGCCATTGTATGATGAAAATCCTAATTCTAGCAGGAAAGCTAGAGTTAAAGGAATCGTAATAAAGAACGAAGAAACTTAAAGGAAGAAGAAAATCTTGACCGCCAAAGAATTCCATCAAGGAAACAGAATAAACGACAAATATATATAAATATATAGCAGCCGAATCGCATTACATTCAAATCTGCTCTCTCTGCTTTTTTATTTATTTAGGTCATGGGTTGTGATCAGGCAGATTTGATAGGGATGAACAAAAGAAAGATATATTTTAGTGATTCAATTATAGAACGCAAGAAGGCACCCAACAGGTTTCTTGTTGATGAGGCAATCAACGATGACAACTCTGTCATCACACTCAATCCTACAACAATGGAACAACTTCAGATTTTCCGCGGAGATACCTTGTTGATCAAAGGAAAGAACAGGAAGGATACAGTTTTTATTGCCCTAGCTGATGACCGCTGCGAGCAGAACAAGATTCTGACGAATAAGGTTGTGCGGTCGAACTTAAGGGTCAGGCATGTCAACAAAAATTTAATATAAAATATATAACACTCGTTTAATATTTTTTACAATCAATGTAACTGATTTTCATTCCTTTTTTAGCACAATTTAACAATAAGTGGAATACAATGTCTTAAAGGTTCTGCCTAAATAATATATATATATATATATATATATATATATATATATATATACACAACCCTAATGAAAAGAGTTTAATTTCTTCCATATAATAGCATTTAACATTTGCAACGAAAAAATAAACCTATGGGTCATCCAATAGGTCAAACAAGGAGCAGGTAAAAACAAAACGAAAACGAAAAAAAAAAATTCCTACAAGGCATGAACTTAATTACTGAAGAAATGACCTAATCGAAGAGCATAAATCCAAAACTATTTAATTTGTTAGGTATGTAGATATCTTGTTTTGTTAACATTGAATTTTGACCCTAAATTTCAAATGCATTTTCATCACTAAAGTTTATAAATAGAAAAACAAAACCCAAAACAAGTTTTCATGTAATTTTCTAACAGTTCAAGATCTCAACTCAATATCTGGTTTCAATTTCAAATTCCCATTTCAATTTCAATTCAAATTCCCCAAATTTAAATGTTTTTCGAGGAGGAAGAGAGCGTGATTATAGGCCACCAAGAGGGCACCCATTATGCAATTTTTATATTAGATAATAAAAATATTTTTATATCAAATTATGCATTAATCAAGACCAAAAGTCTAAAAATGGATTTGTTAGCGTTCGCATTATTTAAAAAATAAGTTACAGAGAATAAAAATACCTATTAAATTAAAAATGAATTATATTAATTAAGGATATTTAATGTATTCTATTACATATGTATCATATGGTAAGTTTTCAAGATCCACTTTATAAAGATGGTTTCATATATGTAGTCAAAAAAAAAAAAATCAATCTATATGGAAAAAATTCAATACCACAAAATAATTAAAATCTAAATATATAAAAAAATATTAAAATTTAAATGAACTTAATATATGAGGTCAGATTAAAAAAAAAAAAATCCTATTCAATCACAACTGAACTCCTTATTTGCCAATCTGCCAAGGATTTACAGAAGGATGGGGCATTTTGTATCCACTAGGCCTGGAAAGATACACGTATTACATTATCCTTAAAGTTTTTTACAAAAAACTACTTTATTTGTACATAATCCCTTTATTCATAAATTGAACTATTAGCACCCAAAAATTTTTCAAAAAAATTAACAAAATACAAAAACAAAAAGACGGAAGAAAAAAGAAAAGGACTTTTTTTAAAAAAAAGAAAAAAAGATTGAGGGGTGAAATTAAAAAAAATGAGCAGAAAATAACCAAAATAAATCGAGCTTATGAGATGATGAACCAAACTAAACTTTGTCCTAAAAAAACCCCCAAAACTTAGTGTAAAAACTCCTTTTTCTCCTAAAAATGGGAGGCTAGATTTTCTCTCTCCATAAGCCAGCCAACTACCTCCCTTTCCCTCTTAAAATTTCCGGCCACCCAGCTTCTCCTTACCCAAAAGACTCCAGTCATCCCTCCAATCCGAACCGGCACCATTCTAGCCGGTTCAATCCCTCCTTCAGCCATGACAGCCCTATTCTCTAATCGGTCTAGCCACTCCTCCAATGCCTTCAGTCATGCCAATTGCCGCCCAACCTTTCATTGTCGGTCCAACCACTTTAGTCATCGTCCAGCCTTAGATCCACGCTAGCAGCAGTCCAATCAGACCTAACCAGTAATTACTCTAGCAACCAATTAGGTCGCTGCCCTATACAATCTACACCTCCAATCGATCCAACAGCCACGTCGTCCTACTCCAATCGACCAGCAGCTCCTCTAGCCTGACCTAGCCATAAATCAAAGTGAAGCAACCGCTCATCGTCCAGCCAGCATCCAACCCAATCTCCACTGGTTCAACCACTTAGGCTGGTCAAACCGAACTAGCCCCTCCCCTACAATAAATCTGAACTAGTTAGTATGATCCAGCCTCTTCGGTAGCCACCCAATCTAGATATGATAACGGGCAGTCGTCTCTCCTCTTTGGTTGACTGAATATCAATTTCCATCGAGGTTGAAAAGATCAGAACTAGCACCGATTCCACAGTCAAATTCGTTCAGTATTTTTACAATAATTTATTTTTACCTTTTATTTTATTTTTTATATGTGTTAAATTTAATTCATGTTGTTGTGCCTGTAAATTAATTTATTTATTTTGATGTGTTTGTAAGTTAAATTAAATTATCATTGTATGTGTACTTAATTTAAATTGCTGCTTACATGTGGCTTGATTAAATTGTTGCTGTGCATATTGTTTAATTAAACTGTGATTGTGTTGATATTGTCTTAACAGATACTTTTGATTGTAGATGTGATTGAATTGTGGTTGCTTGTACGACTTTTAGGACTTTTTAGATTGAATTTCGTTTCAGACCATTTTTTGGTTGATCATGATCATTGATTGAATTGCATCAATTGGCTTTTAAAAAAATATTTGATTATTGCTTTGCGTCGGCTAAAACTATTTTTTTTTGGATCATTTTTTATGATGCTAACTTCAAATCACTCACGTGTTAATTTTATTTTTTTTAAAGCATTTTTGGGCCATGCAAGTTTCGAATCTCGTTATTTGGGTTATTTTTATCAAATATCGATCAATTTTCACGTTGTCACCAATTCATTAAAAATAGGATTCTTACGTGCCATCGGTTCAATTTTTGTTTTGGTATCATTTTAATCCATTACAATGGTTACTTAATATTGTGCTAATTTTTCTTTAAAAAAAAGTGATTTCTAAGCCACGTGGATCCGAGTCATGTTTTAGATCGTTGTTGCACATCGTGAAAATTGATTTTCTATTGTGTTGATTTTGCCTAAAAATTTTCATATTCGAGGTCTTGTCGATCCGAATCCTCGTTTTCGGTTCGTTTTTGTCAAATTCAACGATTTTGCCAATTTCACCTAAAAATCATAATTTTTGAACTCCTGTCAGTCTTAATCTTTGTTTTCGGATTATTTTCGTCAACTTCAATGATTTTTTTTTAATTTTGCTAATTTTTTCATTTTTACTGTTTTTATAGTTTTTGTCGATTTTGTCCAATTATCGATTTTGCTAATTTATCGATTTTGTCAATTTTTCCTATTTGCCAATTTTGTCAATTTTGCCTAATTATCGATTTTTTCAATTTTCCAATTATACCAATTTATCAATTTTGTCGATTGTGCCTATTATGCTGATTTTGCCGATTTTGTCAATTTGTCGATTTTGTCGAATTGCCAATTTTAATGATTTTTGCCTAATTGTCAATTTTGCCTAATCCTCCATTTGTCTATTTGTCAATTTACCGATTTTGTCAATTTGTTGATTTTCGCCTATTTGCCTATTTTGTCAATTTGCCTAGCTATTTGCCTATTTGTCAATTTGTTGATTTTTTCATTGTTTGTCAATTTTTGCCAATTTTGCTTATTTTTTCCTAATTGCCTAGTTATCGGTTTTGTCAATTTGCCTATTTTGTCTATTTACCTATTTTACTTATTTTTTAAGTTTTGCTTTCATGCACGTTGTCTAAGTAGCATCCGCAGCACATCCTTGCATCCATCATTTTTTTTAGCTATTCATTATAGAGTGAGGACAATGTCTATGACCAGTCAAGTCCCAAATCACTTAGCTAGTGAGCAAATATTTGAAAAATAGATATAGATTTTCATCATTAAAAATAAAAAATCAAATCAATATTATATGCAATGCAATTTTTCTTAAACAAGATGGGGTAGGGTGATTTTTTAATCTTCCCTACACATAATAAACTCCTTATCCGGAACACGGACTGATCATAGGGTTTCCAAGTAACCATAATACTAGGTGGCGACTCTAGTTATTTATTTTTATTTTTTTCTATTTTTGCCTTAACTCATCACCCTCGCCATTGACATCGCCTTGTGACAAATTGAACAATTGAAAATATAACAAATCTCAAACTTGAAAACCAAGACAGATTGCATACAATTATATATTCTTAAGACAATTAAGCAAACATCTTGGTAATAAAGAGTCAAGCAAATCCAAATTCCACCAAATTTGGAAAAAAAAAAAAAAGGTTCAAAACCCCATTAGAATTTAGAACCATACATCTTGAAATTAAATGATATTCAATTTGAATTCAATAATTTTGAAAACTACATTCTTTTTTTAAAAAAAAAAAAAAACTCTTTTTTTTATGGGGTGACATAAATAAAATAATATGTTATTACTATTTTTATTACGTGCTAAATCATGTAAACTTTGAATTCAATATGTGGATTAGGTGACATAAATAAAATAATAAAGAATTTATTTATTACCGTTTTCATCATAGTAAAATCAATTTGAATTCAATGAATCACATATATATATATATATATATATATATATATGCCATGTTGTTAAAAGTACATAAGAGATAAGAGAACAAGCATCTTTGGAAAAGAAGAAAAAGGCAAAATCAAGCATGAAGGCCTCTTCTATCTATATGATTCTTTTCCTTATCTTTGTTGTCGGTAAATTATTATTATTGTTTTTTATCTCGTAATATTTTTATTAATATGGTCTCTTGATCCTGTTTCTTGCATCTTCAAGAATGATTAAGGAGCATCATCTCTTTTATTGTACTATACAATATTGTTTCCTTTACTTCCCAATTATGAAATTTTTTATTTTTTTATAAAAAAAAAATTGCAACTGAAAACCCATTTGATTCTTGGTGCAAGAAGCAAGCAAATGATGGTTGATGCAGAACTTTGTCAAAAAGGATCAATTCATGAAGGTGTATGCACACCTTTTAAGTGTGGAAGTGACTGCAGGATCAAGTATGGAAAAGATGCAATTGGAAAATGTCTACTCGCAGTTAGGTGTGAATGTTACGTACCTTGCTAAGTACACAGATTGTATGAAGCGATTAGTCTTATTTTGAACACAATAAAATACAATAATAAGCTAATTCTTAACTTTCTTGTCATTTATGTTATATAACAGCCGTTTTTAAAGTTATGAATCGACGATAATTGTTACTGTTTTATGACGTTATAACGGAAGTAACAACAATTCATATGTATAACGTTAATGTCACATACAATAATAATAAGAATCCTAACAATTCATTAGTTTTATTTGTAGTAGGTGTTAATAAGGTGTCCTTTGCTAATCTTAGCATTCTGCATAACAAATTAATGCCAATGTGATTGTTCTGTCAGTCCTTCTCAAGGCTAGAAATTAATCCAAGACATGTCCGAGAAAATTTCTGAAAGATATTGCTTGGAAACATGCGAGCTTTGATCCAATGAAAGCATTGCCAATGCCGACCGTACCATAGAATTTGATGTCTTCCTTTCTTGTTTCATTCCATTCCTTCCTGTCAGAGAAAAAGATGATTTGTTTAGCTATATTCAAGAAGCAGCAGGCATCTTGTGCCTCCAATTAGGGAATGTTTTGCTATCCTTAAGCTACCAAATGATGCTAGTTTCATGATAGATGTATGGGCAATACGATCGATGGCGAATACTAAAACTTCAAAACGAAAGAACACCACACAAACATGTCCAGCAGAAACACCAGATGGTTCAAAAAACAATGTCAGAAGTGAATCAAACAAGAACGTAATCGCAGCGAATTTAGCAGTAGCGAAAGGCAGCATGTCTGTGTTGACTAAACATCCACAGAATAAGAATTCAGTTTACACATTAAAGCAAGAATGCAGCAGCACTGAATTTTCACAAATTCCGAACAGCACCGATAATGATGAACGAAACCTGAAGCAGTAAACACTAAACAGCAAATGTACCGCAACTACTCTCGTGTTCTCAAGCACCGATGATCTGATGAAATTAAGCACAATTGCAAGGCCAGAACACAGCAATTTTCCAGTGTTAGAGTGTCCAAATAACATAAGATGATAGCAACAATATCCAGGAGCAGCATGCACCAAGTATCCTTTGAATGCTGACATCATAAAGTTCAGAACACATTAAAAAGCACCCATGAAGGATTGGCATTAGCTAACATAGTTGCGTGTTTTAGAGTGCTGCAAAGAGGGAAAAACTTCAGAACTGATAATTATTATGAATCTGCTGGAAATATCAGTGTTGCAGATACGATTGGCAGCATTAGTTGCCAAACTTGTTTTACGGAAAAAAAAACAATATAATCTATTTTGTCTAAACTATGATAGCCAATGACACTTTTCTGAGAAAATTTTGATCTGTGAACTCTGTCAAATTACTTAAATACAAAGATGAAAAAATCATTAACATTAGTCTCAGTAAAGAGAGGAAAACATGAATGCAAAAAAGAGTAGCTTAGAATTTCCAAAATTTTGCTTCAGTTATATTCCAACCATCATTCTTATTGAACTGTAATTGTTGCTTATTATGAAGAAACTTAATTCGCTGAAATTACAAAGAAAATAAAACAAAATAACAAACATCAAATCAATAAAGTTCTTCATCATCATCTCCACCAGCAGAAGTCACAACTGGATTGAGACCATTAGCTGATGCTGCTGCCTCTGAAAATGTGAAATCAGCACCAAAACCTCTGGATTGTTGCAGTGTTTGAGAAAACATCTTATACTTGAGAATATCAGCATCACTCACGCTCCTTCTAGCATATTTCATGGACTCTTCAAAGTGAGAAACTTTAATCACAGCAATTCCTTCCTCGATGCTGTCTTCCACGCCTTCGATCTTGGTCTTCATATCCTTTTCAATGTCCTCCCTGATAGCATATTTGCAAGCCCTCTGGCATATCTCTGTGATATCAGCACCACTAAAGCCTTCAGTGTGCTTGGCAAGAACTTGAAGGTCGACATCTTTTGAGACCGGTGATTTTCGCAGGCAAGCTTTGAAAATCTGCAGTCGAGAACTTTCATCTGGTAGAGGGATATAAATTAGCTGATCAAGGCGACCGGGCCTCATAAGTGCGGGGTCAATTATATCAGGCCTATTGGTAGCACCAATGACAAAGACTGTTTTCTTGGCTGTTAACCCATCCATCTCAGTGAGGAGTTGGTTCAAAACTCTATCAGCTGCACCACCAGCATCTCCTACGCTGTTTCCTCTTTGAATGGCAATGGAGTCAAGTTCATCGAAAAATAGGACACAAGGTGCCGACTGGCGAGCCTTGTCGAAAACATCCCTGACATTGGCTTCACTCTCCCCAAACCACATTGTTAGAAGCTCAGGACCCTTGATGCTGATGAAGTTAGCTTGACATTCATTTGCAATAGCCTTAGCCAGCAATGTTTTACCACAACCAGGAGGGCCATAGAAAAGAACTCCCTTAGAAGGTGACATGCCAAATTTCTCGAACTTCTCAGGATGCTCCACGGGATACTGAACAGTCTCTTGAAGCTCCATCTTGACCTTCTCAAGGCCACCAATATCTTCCCATCTAACATTGGGAACTTCCACAATGGTCTCACGTAGAGCAGAAGGATTGCTGTTTCCAAGAGCAATATTGAAGTGTTCATTCGTAACAGCCATGGAATTAAGAATCTCCGCATCAATGGTGTCGTCTTCCAAATCAATGACATCCATCTTTTCCCTAATGCATTGTAGGGCAGATTCACTGCAAAGAGCTGCAAGATCTGCACCAACATACCCCTGAGTTCCTTTGGCTGCTTTTTCCAAGTCTACATCTTCAGAGAGCTTCATCTTCTTTGTATGGACACGAAGAATCTCAAGGCGACCAACTTCATCAGGAACACCGATATCTATTTCTTTGTCAAACCTTCCAAACCTTCTTAATGCAGGGTCTAGACTGTTAGGCCGGTTTGTAGCTCCTATTACAATAACATGGGCGCGAGCCTTAAGCCCATCCATAAGAGTCAGTAGCTGCGAAACGATCCTTCTCTCAACTTCCCCACCAGTTTTCTCACGTTTGGGAGCAATTGAATCAATCTCGTCAATAAATATAATTGCAGGAGCATTCTTTTCAGCTTCTTCAAAAGCTTTTCTCAGATTTTGCTCGCTCTCTCCGGCCAACTTGGACATGATTTCTGGCCCGTTGATGCAAAGGAAGAAAGCCCCAGTTTCATTAGCAATAGCCCTTGCTATCAATGTTTTACCTGTTCCAGGAGGACCATAAAGCAAAATTCCTTTCGGTGGCTTCACACCAATGGTCTTGAAAAGCTGCGGAAACCTTAATGGCAGTTCAACCATTTCTCTGATCAATGCCAGTTGTTTCCTAACACCACCAACATCATCGTAGCCAACTTCATCAAGCCTCTCCTCATCTTCCCTCCTCACAGCCTCCCCTTCACAGAAGATCTCTGTATCCGGCGCAACCACACAGTACTCAGCAGGATCAGTCTCAATGACCTTAAACTCCACGCTCCTCATTCCTCCTCTGACAAGGAAAAGATCTCCTTTCCTAACAGGACGATAGGAATCCTTGAAGTAAGGCTTCAGGTATGCATCAAACAGACTACAAGTAAGGCCTTCGACCGTGTCATCCAAAGGCAGTATGTGAACCCTCTTGCCATCCTGCACATTCGTACATAAGTGCACCGAAACTATGTCGCCATGCCTCACCCTTAAGTTCGACCGCACAACCTTATTCATCAGAATCTTGTTCTGCTCGCAACGATCATCAGCTACGGCAACACAAACTGTATCCCTCCTCTTCTTTCCCTTGATCAACAAGGTATCTCCGCGGAAAATCTGAAGTTGTTCCATTGTTGTAGGATTAAGTGTGATCACAGAGTTGTCATCGTTGATTGCTTCATCAACAAGAAGCCTGTTTGGTGCCTTCTTGCGCTCCATAATTGGATCACTAAAACCTCTCTTTCTTTTGTTTGAGCCTGCAGCCTGATCACTCATGAATTAAAGAAAGTGCAAATATTGAACGTAGAATAATATTGTCAACACCACTGCTGTTTATATATGAGTCTCTTCTTCCTTTTCCGTGTTGTTTAAGGAATCCTTGTTTTATTGGGTTTTCCGTTCGGTTTCCTTCCTTATTAGTACTTCTTATTTTATAGGGTTTTAGTGTTTCTGCTTCCCTTCGGTTTCCTTCCTTATCACTACTTCTTAGCTCTTACTTTCCTGTTAGAATCAGGATTTCTACAATGGCGGTGACTGCAGACCTGTTCTACCCTTCTATATATTTTTTTATAACTTAGACCTTGTAGTTTATCATAACTAATAAATTGGTCCTTATATTATTAGAAATGATTATATGGCCTTTTGATTGATGTTGACCTTCCTTAATTTCATAGTTTTTGTTTCTAAAATACCTTTTTCATAGTCTTTTTTTTTTTTTAAGGAACATAAAATTGACAAAAAGACTAATTATAAACAAAGTTTAAAAATACAAGGATTAAATATATAATTTCTAAAACTATGTCCATTAATAAATTAGTTATGTTAAAGTACAAGGACTAAATTATATTTTTTTCATGAAGGTTTTTTTTCTTTTTTTCTTTTCCCGACAAGAGAAACTTTCAAACTCAATGTAGCTTGAAATTAATCAACAGAATGTAATTGCCGACAAAAAAGAGTTCAAGATCAAAATGATAATAAAAATATTAGTAACTTATTTTATGTTGAAAAGAAATTCACAAGAAATTCCAAAACAGATGCAACCCACTATGTTGGAGTAAAAAGAATCGAAAACAGTAAATATAAAAAGATTTCCTACTTTTGCAATATTCTGCTGCTTTCAAAGATCACAAGGCAACGGCACTGTCCCATCCAACATTACAACATTTCAAGGGAAAGAGAAGACTTAAGCCTGATAGCTTTTAGTTTGTGCCAGGACAGCAGATTTACAGTTAAACCAGCACTAAAATTTACTATAAATTAACTTTTGACTACAAAATTGTTAAAATCTTTAGATAACAAAAGCTGATAGCACAGTTAAAACTGTGAATTGCTAAGGAAAGTGACCATGCATCTAGCACTTTGGAACAATTTATCTACTCTCTGCCAAACTGCACTTTGAGCGTCTAAGAGCTTCCTTGCCTTGTCCTGTAATTTTGAATTGCATCTAATTGTTTCGCCGTGTATCTGAACAGAAGAATATGCAAGAAGTTAGCCAAAGGTACTAACTCTCTCAGAGAATTAGCAGAAAAATTTAGGGAGAATTCAAGATAAACCCTTTTTTTTTCTTCAGTTTAGTACAAGACGAGTGGAGCAACAAATTCAATGGTTTTGTGCTCTTCAAGTAACAATTCATTATTATCTCTAACCAAAGAAAAGTAAAAAGGGTAAAAATATTGCCCAGGAAATGTGTGGAGAAACAAACAATGATGAGTCCATACCTTCAAAAACAATCTGATGACAGCCTGTACAAACTCAAAATTGTTTCTGCAGGATATCTCATGGATGAAATAGTCAAGAAACAGCTCGATTGAAATAAACTCGGGTCTCTTTTCAAGTTCTTGCTCATCCTCGTCTATTATCTGAAACATTCTAAGTTCCATATCCAAATTGGAAGGAGATAAACCTTTGATATATTCAGTGAATGCTGAGACTGACAAGCGTACACAATTAAAATGTTAACAGGATATCCAATATGCATTAATCATCAAAGAGCTTTCAGCTGACTCATCAATGATAACACTAGAAAATATAGTGCAACTGTGCAAGGGACTAAAATGCTCACAATTTTTCATTTCTGACGAAGACTGAAGAGCTTCCAAAAATTGAGTTACTGGAATGTCGAGTTTTCTCCTATCATTCTCCACTTTGTCAGGTTTGCTATATTCGTCATCCACTTGCTCACTGGGCTTAAATAATATTTCTCCAGAAAGAGATGGAACTGAAGGCAAGAAGAAAGGAGCCTTCTCAGGCTTCTTTGGAGGTTCAATTGGTTTATTGCGTACCTGTATATCAATGATTTAGAGGGAGAAACCAAATTAAAAGAAAACAAAAAAAAAATAAGTTGCAAACCTAATGTGCAGAGAAAATGATAAAGAGAAAATTTAACATGCCATAATGCACGACAACATAAGAGGAACGTTATAATGGGGGAAAGAAACCTTGATAATGTCTAAGTTGATCAAACTCTGCCATTGGCTTTTAGGCAACAGTGAGAGAGTCACGAGATCTGGAATTTGCTGACTAAAAGCTGGAAAAGTAGAAGCTACTTGGGATACTGAATGGTTCACAATAGGCTTGTCTGTGTCCTCATTCTCAACATTTGAACCTTCAACTGAAGATAGAGATGGCAATTTTACATTAACAACTTCTTTCCCACTTGCATAAGTATCAATGTTTGAAGCTCCAGAGAACATTGACAGATTAACCCTGAAAGGTTAGCAGCTATCAGCCTCAGTGAAAAAGAAAAAATATGACACAGAAAGTTACCAGGTATAAGTATAAAATATTGCAGCTGAACACTTCCAAGATCTCACTTAAATATTTGATGGCTATTTAAATACGGAAGGGCATCATCAGATTTTTGCAAATTGTAATTAAGTCCATATCCTTCAATCAGTTTCCTCAAGACAATACCTTTTTGAAATCCATATAGAAAATCTTAAAGGCTTAACTAGTGTAGTGCACAACTTGTAGCTAAAGGCTAAATGTGATAAAATCATAAAACCAAACGTGAGACATGCAATTGAGAACGTACCACAAATATACCCCATTTTGACCAACATGGGTAGTTGCCAGCACATCCATATTTGGTGACAAGGACAATGCTGTGATAGACACATCGACATGAACTGCATCTATTTGCCTTGCTAAGATGACATCCCAAATCCTAAGAGTCCCATCCATACTGGATGACAATAGCCATTTCCCATCCTCGCTAAAACATAAATCTGTAATACGGTCAGTATGACCTTCAAATTTACGAACCATTCTCAGTGCCACGGCATCAAACAAACGGATAACCAAATCATCTGCCACAGTAGCCAACAGACCTGAAAATCATGCCAAACCAATTTCATCAGAAGATGATCCAAGGAACAATAAAATAATGTGTGTCGGTGTATATAGCTGCAATCTTTCAGGGAAGGGAGATTATTACCATTAAGACGATGATAGACAATCTTAACTAGAGAACATCCAACTTCCCATCTGGATTTTAATGCACGTCCCTTGAAATCCCAAACCTGCACAGCCAACACTTTGAGAAATGAAAATTCCAATAGAAAGATGAAATCTAAGCAATGTTCTTGTGCATTTCATGCGCTATAAGTCAGGGAAAGTGCATAGCAGCACATTATGCCAATGCATAACCTACCAACATGTACATGACAACAAACAAAACACAGTGCAACAACAGCTATAGACTAGAGAGGATATAACATATGTGATAATTTTCAGTTACTAAATTAAAAATATAAAATAAAAGAGCCTCCATGATTGTCCAGAGCACTGACCTTTATATCTCCATGATATCCTGCACTTATCATGAGGGTATTTGTGGAATCACAAGCAACTCCAACCACTTCCCCCTCATGGGCACAACTTCCTCTCTCTGACACATCCAGGTAACTTCCTCGGCTAATTCCTGATTGAAGGTTGAATCGCTCTATCCAACCACCAGCAGTTCCTATGATAGCAAAGTTGCCACATGCACTAATGGTGCAGGCCTGATGCAATAATACTGTCAAAAACTAAAACCATATGCAATTCCAAGAAGCATTCTAGACTTGCATTCAATCTTCTGTATTCCAATTATGGAGGTAATATTGCTGTTGCTCAACAATAAAAGAATAATGCAAAAATCGAGAATTTCTTTTGCTTTTTTTTCCCCAGAAATTGACAAAAATCCACTTGTTTTGCCAAGACTATAATGATTTCCTTCACCCTGCAACAGGGTTTAACATCTTACAAAGTTTATGTGAATTTATGTAGGTGATCCAGAAAATTTTTAATGACTTCACAAGAAGATGCATACCAACTCACTTGCTAATGAAAGAAAAAAAAAGGTTGAATGCGTGTCCAAAAAAAAAAAACAGCAGGCAAATAAAGGATTGCAATTCTAACCTTGACAGGTGTTGGATTTTCTGGGCATGGTCTCAGGATATGCTCCCCAATGACAAAATTTTGAAGCCTCCACACATATGCTTGTTCAGTATCCATATGACAGGTTACCACATTGCACCAATCCCGCTCCCGAATTTCAGCTATAATTAAAATTTGACATTAGGCAACTTGGAAACATGGTATATTCAGAAAATGTGAGTATGATAGTAATTAATTCCAACTAAACAGTTGTTCAAAAGTATATCACAACATAGAAAAAGGGAGAAGATGTAAACTAAAGCAGTAAGGAAGAAATTTAAAGGAAGTATGGTCCAAGACATGGCAAACAGGTAAAATAATATCCATGCAATCAATGAAAATTAGTTCAAACAGAAAGATAAGTTTAATTAGGAACAATCACCACCACTATAGTATAAATAAATAACCCATTCATTCCAGAACACAAATCCAAGAGCAAGAAACACATACACCTAAGCATTAAAAGAGTTCTCCGAAAAAAATCATACCACAATCAAAGGCAATAACAGGCTTCAATTTGAGTTCTTCTTCCTGCAAATTGAGCGAATAAGAAACTTAATAAGCCAATCTATACCCTTATTCAGTTTCCAAGACCAAGTGAACAACAATACAATATTTATACCATATGCCACCAGCCATGTTTACAGAAATTTATCAACAACATACAGCATATTTCATTGGGCAAAACTAGAGTGGAAAGTACCAACCACTACCCCCAGTCATACCTTCACCCGAAGTTTCTTAGCTCGTTTCGATACATGACGCTGAGAGAGTTCTCTACTTTGTTGGTCCTGATCAATATAAAAGTTGAATAAATGATTAAATAATATATGCTGAAGTGGAATCAAAACAGAAGCTGAAAAGCAAACACAAACACAATTCACCTAGAGAGAGAGAGAGAGCAAGAGAGAGAGAGAGAGAGACTCGTCCCCATACTAATATTAGACAAATAGAAATAACCTATACGAGACAACTCAATCTTTGCCCATTCACATATGCAATGGCTGTGTAGCAGGGGTAAGGATTACAGAGAATATGGTAATCATTTTTCACTTCATTTCTTTTATTTAGTCAGCATGTCAAATGTTAAAGATTTTACAATCAAACAAAGCTTGAATATTGATTTATTGACAAAAACATATAAAAAAATTCACTACCACCCATATGCTTTGCATGGTTATAAAAAAAAATGTACATCTTAAATACTACTTTTCCATTGTTTCCAGGTAATCAGATAAAACCTCCTTTCCTTTACTCAAAGTGCTCACACATACAACAGAATTTACTCGAATGATATTACATGGAGAAAAAGAGATAACATAAGATAGCTATGAGCAAAGGTTTCCAATGTGCAACAGAACTTTAACATCTGTAATGAAAATATCCATAAAGCAGATAAAAATTTAATTCAATATTTGAAATTGCAAACCTGTATGACAGAGAAAAGACGAAAGGCACGATCCTGACCAGCAGATAGAATGTGTCTCCCATTTGCATAGAACCTGTGGCAGATGAATAATTTTCAGAACACAAGGATGTCATGCAAAAATGCCGGAAATTTTCACATGAATTTCAAAACAAGCTATGGCATGAGTTAGATGTTTAAGATACCATCATATTTTAGTTATATGTTGGAATTCACCATCAGGGTTGATCGAATGTTCTCAATGAAGTGAGAAGCCATTTAATGTTCATAAATGCAAAAAATAAGAATTGAGACTGCACAATCAATCACAAAGAGTAGGACACAAGAATCGTATAAGATCTTTAACTAATGAAATGAGGCATGTATTAAAGTACAACGAAGAAGAAACTAACCAATATAAATTTCAATACTAAGATTTCATTGTCAAGCATATTACCTTATGCAAAGTGGAGGAGCACTATGTCCGCTTCGAAAGCGTAAAAGTCGAGGATCTCCATCAGTCGTGTCAAAAATCCACATCTAAAAGGCGCAAAAAATTCAAATCTAATCTAAGTATAGGACAAAACAAAGAAATATTGGAATTCACAAGCTAAAAATTTTATTATGCTGATAAGCAAATTAAATGTCCACTTTAAAGAAACCGTCGTCACTATAAATACTCAGCATCTAATGCAATAGATTTAGGTATCTATTTCGTGGAAAATTTTGGAGTTTCTTCCTTAGGAACATTTTATATAAACTGTACAACATATCATCAAAAGGCGGAGACTTGAGATATAGGTGTTCAATTACTTTAAACTTGGCTGCACAATGTTCTGTTCAGTCTAAATCATCCTTAACAAGTTTCAACATTTATAACCTTATGCTGTTTTCAAATAATAATAATAATAAGAAGCCACAATCACTATGTGATGGTAACAAGAATTGAAGTGACCACCTTAATACTTCTGCCTCAGAAGTTAGTATTGAACAAAGCAAACACCTAAAGGCATGTCGAAATGGGCATTAAAGACTCAAAACAAAACATTAATCAAATATACTTGATAGAGGCTGAAGCATATGGCAAAACTGAGAACTTATTGTAGTAGCATCTTTTACCATCCACATAATCAGACTAACAGAAACAGGAACTCAGCGTAAGAACAAAGAAATGTATAGCAGCACAGACTGTTATCAATTGATAATTTCATCACTTATTCGTTATTAAGAAACAAAATTTAACAACATAAGCGGAGGGTGAAATGCTTCTTACTTTAATAGAGTTGTCCGCTGATGAACTCATCAGCACAGGCTCATTAGCGAAAAAGTGCAACGAAATTATTGAACTATCATGTGCCTCTCTTACAACAGTTTGTAGTTTTCGTTTCTCCAGATTCCAAATGCTTATAACACCAGATGAGCCTCCTGATGCTAAAAGCGGCTGTCCATCTAAAAAACCAACAAACAATAAGCTTTACGTCAAACTGCAAGACAAATCATCAAGAACAACAGAACCCTCATTTCCTAAACTCAAATCACAGAGCTAAAGCAAACTAACTAACTTACCTGTAGCGAATGACAATGCAGTCACAGCACCACGTGTGGAATGCGTAAATGTAACCACCTCTTCGTCATACCGAATGTTATGAACATGAATCTTTCCATCAGCACAACCAACCGCAACAACATCCAAAGCAGGTGATGAGACACAACTAGTCACCGACGAACCCCATCCTTTAAACTCGAACAACATTTTCTTCGTACTAACATTCCAAAGCTGCAATCCCCCTCTTGACTCCCAATCAAAACCTTATTCAAATAAGTATCCGGATGCATCATACAAGTCGGCGTAAACTTATCCCCCATCATAAGATGCCCAACCGGTGCATTATTCTCTTTAACCCCTTTAAATCCCCAAATAAACAAATTACCATCAACGTCTACACTTATCACATGATCCCCAAATACCATCAACGAATTCACCTTCGCACTATGCCTACTCCACGTCGCCACCTATCAAAAACAAACACAAAAACAAAAGATTCAGCCATTTGTCACCTCAATTCCTATACTTCATGGGGCTCAACCAATTGGCACAAGCATACAGCCATATCGTTCCACTTCGTTTTAATTCAATTTACCTGGTGGGCGCGTTTGAAGACGGCGATGTGGCTTGCGTAGGCGACGAAGGTGAAGTCACGATAGGAAGCTAAAGCGCGGATTTTGTGAGGTAGTTGAGGGCTGACGAGAACTAAAGTGAGCTTGGCACAGTTGTAAACTTGAAAAGCTTTGCCTACACTGACCGTAACGAAGGTTTCGGTGCCTAATCTTTGGATGGAGAACGGCACGCCGCTTGTTATGTATCCGATTGCTCTGAATGGTTCGAAGATGCCCATTTTGGGAGAGAGATTGAGGATGGAGAGAGAATTAGGGTTTCGAATTGGATTTAATTGGACGGAAACGGTGTCGGTTTGGAGTGCTTTTCGGGGTTTAGGATTGAAAGAGAGAAACCCTAGCTAAAACCTGCTGATGAGAGTTTAGGGTTTAAAGGAGGAAGAAGAAAGATGGAACGGCAACGTTTACTACTATGGATTTACGCAGAACTGTTTCTCGTTATTGTTTGGGCTTGAATTATTTGGGCGGGCCTATACCCATTATTTCTTTCTGATGGACAGGCAAGCAGCACTTAGAGCACAATTTGATTTTTTGGGCCGCATTGGCCCATATATTTCATTACAGTTTGTGACGTTTGTTCGGCCGAAACTATTGTTTACAAATGAAATCTTTTTCAATTTGAACAGTGGTCTTCAATAATTCATTTTGCTTGTGTGAAAATCAGTTAGTTAATTATTAAACCTTCATTTAGGGTTTTCATGTGAAAATTTTTGTCCTAAAAAATGAATTAATTTTCATTATTTGAATGTATTGAGAAAAATATTTTTCTATAAAATAAATTATATTTTATTGGTGGGTTTTGAACAATGATAATAACATAAAAAAAATTATAATGCTGGTGATAGAAGTAGTAGTGATAGTGGTAATATATTTGATAGTAGTTGTAATAACATTGCCAATAATAATGATATATAGTCCTAAAATGATGTTTGTTATGCTAGTAATGAAAACAACAATGGTGTTTAAAACCATGGTTGTAAATTTTAATGATTGTTACTATAATAACAATACAATAGTAGTAGTGATGATGATGACAACAACTAGTGGTCATGATTCAAAGTATTGATATAAGATATTTTTGCTCTTGATTATACTATACAATTAATCACTTCATTTCCAACATCTATATGCATGTGTTTGGTCTCTCTAAAGTAATCATGCGTTATAAAGTAATATAAAATTATTTTTAAGATTTCATATAACAAGTTAAATTTTTAGATTGAGATGATTTCTTGACATAATATCATAATTTTGATGATCAAACGGTCACACAAGGTAATGATAAATCTTTATAAGTTTTAAACTCAAAGAGTTTTCACTTGAACATGTGTATTCAAGAATAATATAAAAATATTTTTGTAGTCTCATCCAAAAATTGCTCTACCTTTTGAGCTAAAAAGATTTTTTGAAATCTTATTACATATTACATATATAAACCTAAAAGATTATAGGAAAAGTAACATTAGCACACAATAATATTCACCATCTCTCAAAACATAGAGGATATAGATTTAATTTGTTGTGCATTGATATTTTTGTGATTTTCAAACTACTTTCGTGCTTCTTATATGTAAGTTTGTACGAATGTTGCAATTTGGTTCCAATTTATTTAAATATTTTTGTTTTAATTATGAACTCTATTTGTATCATAGTTTGGTTTCGACTATAGGAAAGAGAAAGAATCGATGGCATAGAAGGAAAAAGAGAAAGTCACAACGAGGCTTATTCTAGCCACTTTGACTATCAATTTTGGATCTAATTTGTTCATCTTGGAGATAAGTAAGGTATGAAATGGTTGACAGAGATATATCAAGTCCTAAAGTATTTTAAGGTTTTGGAGTTATAATTAAATTTGTATGTGTTTTGTCCGCAATAATAAAATGAGTTTTTAGATTTGAAATTAGTTTATTAATTTTATTTTTGTGATTTTGAGATGTTTTTGAACAAAAATGAAGTTGAATTTGGATTGGAGAGATCGGAAACTAAAAATTTGATTTTTTCAACTTTTTCAGCAGATTATAGTTTGTTAAAAATTATAGTCGGACGACACGTCATCTGCTAGGCAAGAAGCCAGCTATGTGTCAGTCCATTTTCTTCTTCCCTTTTTTTTTTTTTAAGGCTACCTTGTGCAACCTTGGTTCTCCAAGCCCAAGCACGTAGGCTTGATTCTCCAAGCCCAAAAGTATAGGCCTATGCCCTTATTTGTTTTTTTTTTTTTTAAAAAAAATTTAAGTTTTTATTATGGATTTTTGAAAATATATATATATGGAAGATCTATATATGGTTATTTTTGGATTTCTCACACAACTTGGCAATGAAGAAATATATATGATGTGTTATTACAATATTTTAAAATGAACATATATTTTAGATTATATTAATTTTATTATTGAAAATTTATTCGTTAAATTTTTTTATTTCTTATAAAAAAATCTCATTTATAAAAATCAATTTTTTGAAATCAATTTTTTTAAAATAAAATAATTAAAAATATATTTTTACAAAACCATCAAATGATTCAAAATAGTTTTTTATATTAATATTATTGATTATTTTAAAAATCCAGTCGAAGAGCATCCCTACTAGACCATCTTATACCACGGCAAACATTGTTCCAAACTCGATCGAGCCATCTCTCTCTATATATAGATCAAAAGCACCACTTATGCGAATACTAGTGGAAAGAGTTTAAAGAGGATTCAGCTTGCATTTAATGTAAAGAATTTGAACCCTAGACTAGAACTCTTAATATAAGAATCTCCCATCCAATTTTCATAAGTACGTAATATTCTTGCAAGCCAAGGAAATTCAGATGTCGAGCTTGAGCTACTCTGATAACCTTTGATTGATTTTGTCCACGACATGCTCATATATATATATATAACAAATTTACTTGACTTCCCCAAAGTAATCCTATAACAAAATAATTTCTCTTAATTATTACAACATGTGTATCATGCATTCAAAGTACATGACCAAAATAAATTCCTTAAAAAAGTAGGTGCCAAATTCTCAATTTCATAAAAGGATAAAGCCATAATGTACGAAAATCTTCATGCACATCCCAAGATTAATTTATTCACACTCAGTTAGATTCTGAAGTAGATGGATAATATGCTTTAATTTCAACTAGCTAGTATAAAAATAAATCTCAATTAAATGGTATTGGAATGCAACCAATACAGATTAATTCACAAAGGAACTTAATTATAATATAATATGACCATCTTGCAAACTCATTGATTCTGAAAAAACCTTCGATGAAATCTTTCACATCCCATTAATTTATATTGAGATTTCCAATTAAGAGATTCGACTCTCAAATTGAAACACTTAAAAGAAAATAAGATTAAATTTAAAAATATAAAAAGACTATTCTTATTTTGTATAGTTTAAAATTTATCACATTTTTATTTACAAACATTATTTCAATTGTAAAATAAGATGCATATATAACTGAAATATGATACTGTTATTAATTATTGAATATTGAAAAAAAGATAATGCTATAAAAATTATTTTACAAATACAATATATATATTCTCTTAAAATTATAATTATTTAATACAACATTTGTCAAATAAATTATATTGATGGTATAAGTATAGCTATATGTCAAAAAAAAATATGAGCATCCCTTAAAAAAGATAATTAAAATAAAGTGGCCTTTTTTTGTTGCTATGACTTTTATTAGCAATTTTTATAGTATTGTTAAGGACAAATCTATCTTACACTTTTTTTAATAATGATTAACATATTTATTATCGTACAATGACAAGATGATGAACCAAAAATTAGGACGTGAAAAAAGTCATCTTATAAAAAATTATATAATTTTTTATTTTTAATTTAATATATTTTAATTGACTAACGACATAATACATACTATCAAATTAAAATAAATATTTTTAGTTCAATACGTTGCATAGTACAAGAATCCGACTAGTTGATACTAATATATTACAAAAGACTTTAAAAGATGTGATGGTGAAGTCTGTTCATGCACCGTTCATCCCCACATAAAATACCGTGGATGACCCTATTCATACAAGCAGTTGTTTTTTTTTTTTAATTTTGCACCCTCCTTTATTTTTCTAATTACAATGCTGCCATTGTTACTTTTCTTCTCTGTCTCCTTAACCTTCTCTTCTAATTTTTCTCCTCCTTCTCTAGTCGCCATCTGCTATTTTTTCTTAAAAATCACTAACCTATCAATCAAAACCCCCAATTCCATATCCTATAATAAAATCTCACACCATCAAACGGTGGAGAACCAAAACAATCACAATAAAAAGCGAGTGGTGGCAAACACAAGGAAAATGGATTAATCTAAATCAATTTAATTCCTCAAAAAAAAAAAAAAAAGGCAAGTAGGAAACAAAAAAAGAGAGAATCTGCTCCGAAAATTAAAATCAAATAAAAAATAGAAAAAAAGAAAGAAAGAGGAATTTTTACGTAATTGTTGAAGCAACGAACACCTTTCGATCATCATCATTAACCCGAATTTCTCCCTTCACACTCACACGCATATAGATTTGTATTTGTTTAACTAAATAGAGGGTTTGAATTTGAAAATTAAATTAGACTTTTTAGGAATTTAGGGTTCTTAACACTTAGGGTTTTGGAATTTGAAGATTTTTTTTATGGATTGAAATTGAGGTTGAATAATAGGAAGGAAGGCTAATTAAAGTTTTAATTCGAGTGTTTAAACCATGAATTGAACCCGAATTAGACTAGATTAAAACCTAGGGTTTCGAGATCTTCAATAGCAATAAAAATTAGGGGCTTTTTTGAAGATAATGACTCATTTAGGTTTAAATTGGCTTGATCTCAAGAGAAATCAAGCCAATTAAGGCCATTTGAAAGGAAAAAATCAAAAATAAAAAACCTAGGATTCGGCCAAATTGGGAAAAATTTTCAATTTGAGATTTTGATCTAATTGAAAGATGGAGATTAATAAGGTGAGAGGGAAAGAAGCATTGAGAGAGAAAGGAGGAAAGAACGAACTAGAAATCTCTCGGTTCGTTTCTTCCATGGATTAGGAAAAATAAGAGAAAAATTGAGAGAGAAAAAGAAAGAGATGGGAGGAATAAGAAGAAGAAAGAAAAAAATAAAAGGGAGAAGAAGAGAAAGAGGGACGAACCATTACCGGTTCGTCCATGCAAGGTAATGAGAGAGAGGAAGAAGAAGGAAGGAGGAGAAGTAAAAAAGAGAAAGAGAG